GACTATTTTCCGAGTTAAAGGAATATTTTGCACTATTTTTAGCGCATTTTCTCATATATGAAAAAATGCACTATTATGCTCGCCATTACGTCCGTTTGTCCGTCCGTCTGTCTGTCCGTGACTTCACGTTTTCGTCGACGAGAAAATGCGCTCTCTGTCACTCACTGCAGTGAGTACTGAGTTATATTTTTAGCTTCCTATCTGAGCGAGACTCGAATTATTACCCTTCTGTCTTCCAGCGCCACTGCCACGAGTCTCAGGTTCAGAGACTTGATTTCGATGAGCTCGAGACACGAGATGACGCTATCCATTTGTTGCGTCCACAGACGTTTGCCCTGTGCGTGGCAATAATGAATTAAAAACTATTTAAACTCACTTACCAAAACATAAATGTGGATAACATTTAAATTTCTAGAATCAATTATCGTTGAACAAATGTCATTCAAATATAACTTTCTCTGAGTTTTCTCTTTGCGATTCAAAATCAAGATCGAGTCTGGTGGCCTTAAATTTTAACATAAACGATAAAATTTTAATAACTGAGTGTTCATAGTGGATAACGTAGTTCTTAATTCAACCTTCATTTGGTCAACCAAACTGTCAACACGCACAACACAGAAACTTTCCATTTCAAAGCCATGTATTGTATAAATCTAACCAAACCTCTCTATACCTTATTAGAGAAGCAATGTAGATTTCGATCCATGGTTGCCACGAAGATATTTTTATCTCGCCTGACTAGACCGACAGCCTGTGAGTTGAGCTCGATGGTCGGCCTGCCGACTTTGACGCCGCGTTTGAGGGTGTAGACGTGGCCGTTGCGGCAAGCTACGATGATTCGATATTCGACGTCGTACAGCCCGAAAACTGACAGAAATACGGCCACACTCGGCAGGCTCACCTGAAGGTCAAACGCTCAGTGTAAGGATGAAGTAAAAATACTTTAGCTGCACTGAACTCTGTCTTTTGCAGCCCACCAGAACGCACGTTCAGTGTTGGCTGGTGGCAGCGATATAGGTACATTTTGGCTGCCTACAAGTAGGTTATTTATGCAACAAATATTGCTTATTTTACACGAACGCATGAAATTCATCAATTGACCTATTTATATTTCAACATATACTCACGCTGTTGAGAATAGTGAACGCCTCGGGGTCCAGAATGAAGACGTTAGCGCTCTCGGTGCCTAGCACGAGGCAGGAAATGGCCTCCTCCTCCGCGTAACTTTTCTTCAACGTCGCTATGGCCGTGACGACGGTCTGCACAACGCGCACGAAGTGTGAGCAAACACCATCACTTCATATTGATATATTTCGTCGATTGTGCGCATGATACTCCTTCAGGAATATCATGAAATCGTTCTATTGACATATTTCGTTATTTGATATTATGATATTTATCCAGGAATCACGCGTTTTGCACTCTATTGGCATATTTCGGTATTGACTTATGCGGTATTCCTTTAGGAATACCACGAAACTGCAGCATTGACATATATCTTAATTTCTTCCCATGAATCCCTTCCACGAATATTACGTGGCCGTTTCAGTGATTTGTTTTGTTTCATGTCAATGCGATTTTCCTCCACTCATAAGACACCACCGCTCTACTGACATATTTATATAGTTGTGTCAACTTCGATTACACCATATTAGTCTGCAGTTGAACCCTAACAGCTCCACCACCTTGCTCATTTCGAACAGAATCTTCATAACATCCAACTTTATTGAAAGGGTTTATCCAACAACCGACCTGCTTTCCGGGACACACTTTATTTAATGGGTATATCCAACAACCGACCTGCTTTCCAGGACACACTTTATTGCAAGGGTCTACCCAACAACCGACCTGTCGTTTAAGCAAGAACCCCTTGTGCTGGTCCAGGAAGTTCTGCTGGCTCTGGTGGTCAGGACACATCAGGAATCGCTGGGACCGCGTCGTCAGTCCGCACTCGCCAACCTCGTGACGCAGAGAGTCCAGAATCTCGTACAGCAGACTTACGTCAAGAAGATCATCCCGAGCCTAACATGGAGGGCAGGTAAAGTGAGAAAATTTACCATGCACAAGAATAAATTTATGACACGGGAACTAGATTAAAACATTCGCATTATGTGAGAACGAACAAAAACTCGTACATACTTCCAAAGTGCCAGAGAAAAAAAATGAAGAACTGTGTAAAAAACTGATAATAAAATGTAACGTGCCAAAAAATTTCTCTGGCCTTATATAGAGTTTCAGATCGATTATAATTTAGGCCTTATAATGTATGCGAACGATGAGTGCCCCATTGATGTTGTCAACATATTTTTTGTCTGTTATTTGTGCTGGTTGCTTTCCAAACTCTTCCGTTTCCAGATACTTTAGATCCGTAGTTCATCATAGCGAAGACGATATTCCAGTCTAGAAGCTTTCCATCGTTGACCAAGTTTCGACAAACTAGTGATTCAATCACCATTGAACGAGTAATGAAGTAGTGTTTACGTGCGTATGACTTTTTTTTATAATAGGCGAATGGCTGTGAACAAAAATGAATTGTTTTAACTCAGTTCGTGGAACATTGTCCTGATTAAAAAAAAAATATCGCAACAGTGTAATAAATGGCCCTGAAAAAATTAAAAAAACAACAGTTCATCGTTTATCTTGAAACAGGTCATCTTAAACTAGATGAATAATTTTTATCAGTAAAATGCTGATTGCATTTAATGATCCATTCGAGAATGAGAAAAAACATGCCGTCCCAAATTACAAAATAAAATTTCCACAATGTTTAGTTTGAAACGAGTTCGAGTGGAATTAAATCAAACTCTATTCTTTGCGATCGTTTTTTTATTGATGATGTCGGACAGCTCACCTGGTTCCAAGCGTCGTACTCAAGAGGGTTCACTTCCAGCGTTGGTAATGTGAACTTGAAATATGGACGCAGATTTTTATAGATGTATATATAGCTGCCAGATGCCACTGCAACAGCTGCAAGTTCATCAGATTAAAATCCACATCTGCCTGATTGTAAACACATGCAGTTGGACTCTTGCTATGCTAAACCTAAAAGATAGAAAATTTAGATGGTGGCAAATCGCTTTTTATATCCTGAAATTGGCCAAAATATAATCGAGCTAACAAAGTCTTCTGAATAAATGGAATTCGTTGCTTGAAGTTTAAGCTTTCGTGTTTGGCAAGTTGATGTAAAATAATTATATTTCTATTTTATAAAGATTAGTGGCCTAACCTATTTTGACATTTTTAAAAACAACATTAATTTAACAAAATATGATAATTTCAAAATTATATTCATAACGTTTGTTTCGGAGATAATGTTTGCATAATGTTGCGTGATGACGAATGCAATCATTATATGCTCCTTTTCGAAGACGAATACAGTCATTGCTTGAATTAATCCAATGATTGCGTACTACTGAGGAATGGAATGAACAATGATTGCATGCGATTATGTGATGGAAAATACGATGATTGCTGCTAAATTATGAAAAAGGCAATGATTGCATGTTGCCATTGATGGAAAAGACGAAGATTGCATGCTGTTACATGATGAAAAATACGATGATTGCATGCTGCTATTTGATGGAAAAGACGAAATTGCATACTGCAATATTTGATAAAAAATACGATGATTGCATGCTGCTATATATAAAAAAAATATAACTCAGTACTCACTGCGGTGAGTGACAGAGAGCGCATTTTCTCGTCGATGAAAACGTGAAGTCACGGACGGACAGACGGACGGACAGACAGACAGACATGGCCATAAGACAGATATTTTTCCATAAATGAGAAAATGCGCTAAAAAGGCGATGATTGCATGCTGGTAAATTATAAAAAAGACTATGATTGCATGCTGCTATACGTGATAAAAAAGGCGATGATTACATGCGGCTATTTGATGAAAAAAAAAACGATGATTGCACGCTGCTACATCATGGTATAGACTTATAGTCGCTACAGTAGCAACACGTTAGATTGTTCACCTGGCAGTTGCGGCTCAGTTGTGTCCATATGGAAAGTTATGACCCCCGTGGGCATGTCAATAAGAGTGTTCTCTGAGCTCAGCTGCGTCCCTTTGTAAACCTGAGAAACCATAACTTTAATGCCATGTTCAGCTAGTCAAATGAAATTCATAAAAAGCTGAAAATCGAAGGAAAAAATAAATAACTTTTATGGCATGTTCAGCGTGTCAAATGACATTTAAATTCACTGATAATTAAATATATGGCCTCATTGAACAACACCTTTACATTGCGATGAACTCTTTCATCACCTTGATACATACTGTGAATTGGTCCTGCTCAAGTAAAAACATTATATTTTATTTTTTAAAAAGGAGAGACTCTGTGCACCATGATTTAACTATATAAGGTTGACCCACGAGAAGTTCCGTCTTTCAGTTCAGCTTTCTTGTTACGTCACGTAGATCGAGAGACGTAAACAAACCCGTCATTCCCATGACGGATTGCGATAGGTTGACTGGTTTATCGCACTTCGGTGATTGGTTGATGCCCGTGACGTCCCTGAGATCAGTGACGTCACAGACGAACAACGAAAAGCATATGCAAAAATGGGCTTCTGATGGGTCAACCTTATACTAGTTCAACCATGCTGTGCACCATCTGTGTAATTTTCTGTTATACGAGAATCGTAGTTTCTCAAGAAGTTTTACATATACGCTACGTAAGTTGTCCTACCTTGAGTTTCATGTTATGTGTCCCTGAGCCCAGGTCTGCAATGATAAGTTTAATTTCTCCGTCGGCGCTGAGATCTGCAAGCGCCATACACGAACTAAACGTGTTCAGACCCGCGACCGGGTCGTTGTGGGCGGTCAACCATTTGTCCGAATCCTGACCCGTGGCGACTACTGACTCGCCTCCCCCTTCCTCAGGCCTGGCGGTAGAATACAGCAGCGAGGTAAGAAATGAAAATGTTTGGATCATTTATGAATTTTCATTTAGAAGTCAAAATACTCAAATCGTTTATGAATGTTTCTTCAAATATTATTGTCAATTCAGAAACATGTAAATATTTAGATCACCCATGATTTTGCATGCAAATGTGAGAATACTTTAAGCATTTATTAATGTTCCTTCAAAAGTTAACGTGAAATAAGTTCAAATAACCCAACAAGAAAATAATTCTGCATGCAGTAGAACTTTCGATTGCATGCATGACTTAATTTTTTTCGGGTTGTTGAATTCACTGATAGCATAGTGAAGTCTCTGAGTTAGCGATTTTTCTGAGTTAGCTTTCAAACAGCCACAAAAAAATTCTTTGTGATCGTATGGTGAAGACGTTTGTTAAAGATACATCGTGATTAGGTAACTACTGCGCATAAATCAGGAATAAATTGTTGTTAGAAGCAATTCGGTTTAATATCTTGTTCGCTCAATAGTAATTTCGAGATCTACAGGCACATTATTCATATTGTTACCTTAGAACATCTGATGACATGCTTGTATTTGGGCACTGTTTAGAAGGCTAGAGGGATTTTGTATCAACCCTTGTTGTCATGACAACCTGAGGAACAAAACCTGAAGTTGGTCCTTCTGATTTTATTTTAATCATTTTCAAACTTACTAATCCATAGTCATTTAAGCATTTTAAAGAGCTTGCTGGAAAGAAAATTCATTCTATGATAATCTCAATCAGTCATTAATATAAATTATTCTGCAATCGCCAATCTCTGTCATTATATCGTTCTGCACTTCCGATTATTAGTTCTAAGAGTAGTCTGTTTTTCCGCACAGCTGATTCGTGTATGTGTAGTGTATTTTGGCGACGTAAATACTTACAATGCTGAGAAAAAATTGGTTCGGTGGGGTATTCAAACCCAAAAATCTTCATTCGTTGGAGCATTTGAGGTAGGTTATAATTCAGGTAGCCTGTTTAATTATTACTGAAATCAACTATATTTGGGAAATTGCTAGGTATTATTAGTCATTAGATAATCTGAGCATTTGATTTGGCCACTTCCTGATTCAACCACTTCAATCTTCAATGAAGTTTTGAATAAGAAATGTATTTAATTTTGTAATATATTAATAATTTATGCATAAATTTAATCCTCTGTTGTTAACTTGAAGGAGAAAGCTATAATAGGTTTTGCAAGATGAACCTTGTACCTAAATGATTTTGTTCTCTTTTCCACTTTCCAGATACTTGTACTCAGTTTTAAGCAAAAACCAAGTTGTTTCTGAAAGCAACCGGGGGCTGCTAGTGGAAACTCTCCGTTCTATTGCTGAAATTTTGATATGGGGCGATCAAAATGATTCCTCTGTTTTTGAGTAAGTTTATTTTAAATTTAGATTTTAAACCACCTTCTCATTCTTATTTAAGGTAAGCAAGTGTCACAACCTAACTCGTAAGTTATGGCCTTTGACCATCACCCCTTCACCCCCTTCTTACTTTTTTCAGTAAAAATTCAAACAAATGCATTTTTGCTCTTAATTAATAGAATAATACACCTTTTTCATATAATTTTTTGGAAAATTTAGCCCAATATTTCACATTTTAGAGCATTAAATTATGACTTGATGTTGATCATTTTTCAAGACTCCTTATTCATTGATTGTTCACTGATCTTTTGTCAAATGAAAATTACATTCTGGTGTATAGATAATAGATATTAATGGTTATAAATATGAAATTGTATTGTTTTTTCTTTCCAAATATATGCCAGATATCATGAAATGACATGCATGGATCATTTAGCCAGGAGGCTTGGAAATTAACATAAATTCTCCTAGCATATTCTAGCCTAAATGGAAGAAATTCAGAATATTTATGCAATTATTTCAAATTTATTAAATTGCCAATGTAACATCTTGAAGGCTTTATTGATTACTTTGTAAACAAATCTATGATCTGTCATCCAATTACCAGTAATATGAAGCTAAACCTTTATAATTAGTTTTGATAATTAAATGGATGTACTTATTTTTCAACAGTTTCTTCCTGGAAAAGCAGATGCTGTCATTTTTCTTGCGCATCATGAAGCAGAAGTGTGGCAGCTATGTTTGTGTACAGCTTCTGCAAACTCTAAACATCTTATTTGAAAACATAAGAAATGAGACATCACTTTGTAAGTATATATCTGTTACATTCAGTGCTAATAACTACTTAATTGGAATAGTATAATTTAAAATATGTAATAGACAACATTATAATATCGATGCTAGCATGCAATGCATATCACACCATATTGTCTAAAAAGTTTAGTTTTAGATGGTTATATTTATAGATATATTTCTTTTTCTCACCTGTACCTTTGTGTTGCAGATTACTTGCTGTCAAACAACCATGTCAACTTCATAATTGAACACAAATTTGACTTCAGTGATGAAGAAGTTATGGCCTACTACATATCATTTCTCAAAACACTTTCTTTCAAACTTAACAGTCACACTATTCATTTTTTCTATAATGAAGTAAGTTTATTGTAACCCTATCTTTTAATCTGTTTTATGGAAATAATACCTTTCCCCAAAGTGGTACAAATGCATTTGGAATGTATGTTCACATATAATATATTCATTTACACATGAGCAATTAATGACCAGAAATTCATTGATATAAATTTTCAAGGAATCACAAAGTGATTCCCTTAGATGATGACATTTGTAAATTGAAAGGCAGATTTAAGGAAGTAATTTTTATATATTAACAACATTTTGGCAGCTAACATTAATTTCTACATTTTACTAACATCTTTTGTGTGTGCCCTATCATGTTGTTAGTAAATATTTGCATTTTCCCCAGCACACAAATGACTTCCCTCTCTACACGGAAGCCATCAAGTTTTTCAATCACCCAGAGAGTATGGTTCGGATCGCTGTGCGCACCCTCACTCTCAATGTGTACAGGGTCAATGATCAGTCCATGCTTCAGTTCATCAGAGACAAAACTGCTGTTCCATATTTCTCCAACTTAGTGTGGTTCATTGGCAACCATATTCTTGAGCTAGATGCTTGTGTTAGAGATGATATTGAGTGAGTATTACTTGCCTTATANAAAAACACTGAAAACAGTGTGATTCAAATGAAATTGTTTGAAAAAAAGATATGCATTACTAAATATTATTGATCATTAAAATTTTGATTTGTTTGTTTCCCTATAAAACATTTTTTTTGTGAATTTTTGTGTATTGTGTTTGTGAAATTCTTGCATCATTTTATTTTTTGAGTTCATATGGATTCCCTGTTTGTCATCTGCTTGCTTTCATAATTAACTTGAAAAATTTGTTATTCCTGTTTGACTGATATTTTATGATAGTTTAGCAGCTAATTTCAATAGGGAAATTCTACCTGGTCATAAATAACAATCAATTATGTATCAAGTATTTAATATCAAAACAGAAAATTATTTAGATAATTTTTTATAATATACTGATTTGTGTGACTCTCTTTATCTTATTTATGGTCATGATGTCCTTAAGTTTCTGTTGACCACTGCAAAAATTATTAAATGATATGAAATATTGATGTAACTTCCACACCTGTTTGTCCTTGCAGCCATGACAGTAGGGACCGTCTCTCAGCACTAGTCGCAGAGCATCTCGACCACCTTCACTACCTCAACGATATCCTGCAGCTGCACATCACACCTCTGAACCACCTCTTAGCCCACCATCTCCTGCACAGACTTCTCTTGCCTCTATTGGTCAACTCTCTCCTGCCTGCTGATTCGCCTCTGCATAGAATGGTCAGTAAATCTTATAGTGAAATAATGGTAAGGTTGTAGCTATGCAACCTATTTACATCAGTAAGTGTGTAGCAACTCTGATTCAGTGATTACTAAATTATTGTATTCATCTATTATGATATCATATTAATTCGGAGAACTTTTAATTTAGAAAATCTCCTGCTGATTCTTGTATTTAGAAGTTTTTTATTCAACACAGATATAGGTTCATCGTAAATCTTTACAGATTTTGATCTACTTTGGCACCAGTGCCAAAGTAGATACCAGTGGCACCGAGTGCCCGGAAAAACTGACCTATCACCCCCCCTCCCTAGTCGCCACTGCCAGGATGGGCTATTACAACAACAACAGATTTTGATAATATGAAAGACGGGTTGTTGTTTAATGGTTATTTGCTGAGATATGCATTAACTTATACTACCTAACATTTACAGGTGGAGCAACGTCGCTTGACTTCAGACTTCCTCTTGGACTCGGCCAGTGAAGGCAGTCCATCGAATCCTGCTGCAGTGAGTCTATAACTTTCAATTTAAATTATATAAAATTAATGAATTGCATAGTTGTGAACGAGAGATTTTTTAGAAACTAATTCACATTTGAAATTTCCTGATTCCATTCAAAATTATTGTTCATTATTTATGTATGACAATGCTGCTGGTATGCATGATACTCTCCTGGTCAACACATAGGACTCAAAAAAAAAAGTGGAATTTGAAAAAAATTATTTGTTTCACCAACGTTTTGTGTAGTAACTGTAGATTTATTGTAGGTATCCTATGCATAGAAGTTGTTAATTAAAAATGATTTGTTTTGATATTGCTTTGCGTTAAATGCAGGGAATTTGAAAAGTTTCTATTAAAGTGCTCTCCAAGCCATGTGAAAATTGTATGAGAACTTTTCTTCGTCAGAAAATACAATTTTCAGGGATAAATGAGATCTGGGATGTCCAAATGAGTTTTGAAAGTTAAATTTTTTTCGGTATTTGTTTCTGATGACAAGAAACATCACCTGTGGATTCAAAATCATGTTGCTTTTGTGTTTGAAAACTATTCAGTATTAGAATTATTAAAAAAGGCAAATTGAGTGTTATGCATTTTTTAAAAGTGCATTAAAATTTGTAAACGTGCAGCGGCGAGCTAGAGTGCCGCGCGTAAGCAAGGTGGTTGCCCTGTTTCTGTTGGCACAAGTGTTCCTCATCCTCGCCTTCCCTCCACTCCTGAAAACCCTGGCCAGATCTCTGCTGCATGCTGGAGCTTCACTACTAAATCATTATAACAAGGTGAGCTACAATATTTCAATAGTTCTCTTCAACTTAAATTATATTTTTTGGTAGAACCTTTCCTTAGAATCTTCAAAAACGTAGCCGGTGAGCTCAGATGGTTCAATATTTGCCTTCAATTTCAATTATATTTTTTAAGAAGTTTTTTCTTAGTCATAGCGAGCGTGGCTGATGATCTCAGCAGGTTACATTTTTCTTCACTACCTAATTTTTGATGTTAAATTTTTATTTTATACCTAAAGACTTTGATTTTTTAAACAGTTTTCCTGCAGAGCTGTTACTCAGAGGCGCCGTGGCTGAGTTGTTTGAAACTCTTCATAAGATCAGAATAAGAGGGCATATTTTGTTCATTTTTTATGTTGATGTCCCAGTGAAGACCTTTTTATATAAATTTATATGGCGGAAGTTTGACTATGTATTACATTGAGCTACAATTCCTGGTTTGGATATTAGTTTGTTCTGCATTGATTGTATTCAATCTGTGTTTGAATAATTCAAATATCCTACTGAACAAGGGATAATTTGAACAATTAATATCTAGATACATAAAAGTACTATGTATCTGTGATTATTTGGTGTCGCTTGATTCTTCTAATGAACCAAGAGTGATCTCTTATTCACTGATTGACAAACAATTCTGGTTGATAGAGTTTGTTATGCAATGATACACAATTTGTAGGCAGATTTTATGTTGCATTGCTAAGCAATTGCTGGTGGCAGAGTTTGTGCTGCATTGCTAAGCAATTGCTGGTGGCAGAGTTTGTGCTGCATTGCTAAGCAATTGCTGGTGGCAGAGTTTGTGCTGCATTGCTAAGCAATTGCTGGTGGCAGAGTTTGTGCTGCATTGCTAAGCAGTTGCTGGTGGCAGAGTTTGTGCCCGTCGTTGACGGGGTTCGTAGCGCCCAAGGAGAGCCTGGAGAAGTCGCTGCTGAGCCACGGCGTGTCGAGCCCTTGTCGTGCGCGTCTTGCCCGACGGAGGGGCGACTTGTCTCCTGCTGGGGATGAACAAGAACCCCAGGTGTGTGAGGTATGTTCTTTAATGATACATTAATAGGAATTATTAATAACATAATAAATCAAGAGTCTCATGTATGCGAGGTAGACCGTCGTCGAATTATTGTGCTCTACTGATTCAAGTATGCAAATGAACCAGAGATAATTATTACAGGTAATGTAAATACAAAAATATCTGCTGTAATTTGTTGGAGTCGCTTAATTTTTGTTTGTTTTTGTGACCCACTTCTTTCTATGACCAACTTGACTGTTGGTTTGTTCAGTGACGACACACTTTAAAACTGGGTCAAGATGAGTTTGAAACTGAATCGTGGCGAGCTCATAAATCAATCATGCTAGTTTTCTGTTTTGGAAGAAAAATGTGATTACATGTTTATTCGTTTCAATAAATTTCGACTCTGTTATCATTTTATCCTCCTAATCTGAATTTATTTCATACTGATCTCACAATTAATTTTCACAACGAAATCTTGAATTTGCTGTTCCCGATTTATCAATATCCCATAACAAAATCCTGTGTCCAAATCAGTCTTTTGGTATCTTTATGTCGTTCGGTTCTAATATATGATTTGTAATTAAAACAAACGTGAGATATTCGATTATGTTTGTTTTATGGTGAGGTTATATTTCAACTCTTAGCAGGGAGTGGAGGCTGATGCATCAACTGCAGTCATGGAGGTGGACACAAGCTTAGGTTAGTATGTTTTAAAGCAAAGTTGTATTCCCAAGAAAATTTTAAAATTAATTCTGTAAAATTTTCTTTTCAGTCTCAATAGTATCTATAATGAACTGTTTCAGTAGGAGTGCCTCTAGCGTATTTAGGTGAAATATCTGATCAAATTTTAAGATTTTTCAGAGTTAGCTAATAGAAACTTGCTCCCTGGTCGGCTAGAGAAAGCTCAGTTCCTCTAACTAGTGTGTCAAGTTGATTTATGTTGAGCGTGACTCGTATTTTATAGAGTCAAGTATCGAAATAATTGTGTAAACAGAAATTTTAACTGCTGATAATCACTTAACTTAACTGTTTTTTTAATTTGGTGTGAGGTATATATCCATATCTATTTGAATGATAGAAACTTAAGTGAAACTGTCTGAAACTTTAGTGAAACTGTGTGTCATTTGAAGTTGCGAAGCATCAATTTATTTGAGTTTTAATTTGTAATTGTTTTTCTTGTAGAAACGTGCAAGTCAGAAGCAGATCTGACCGCAGAGCTTCAAAGCTCCCTTAACATTACGGACGAAGAGAAGCAACAAATGTTGGCTTACCAACTACCGCCGTAAGTTTTCTTTTTCTATATGCATTCTTCTATTGGTGTATTTATTTAGGTTAAACATCAAGTGAAATTTAAATGCTTGGCACCAAATTGTTGGCTATTGTATCCACTGCTGAAAAGAAGAATTGTCACATCACTCTGCAGCGAGATGATGCTTTTCTCTTGACATCGTAATTGCCAAGCATAATGGTGTGCTGTTCATAATGGTATAATGTTAAGCTCTTCTTATTGGTATAATGTTATTTTATTCATAATGGTATAATGTATGGCGTGCACCATCGAGCTACCAGAGCAGCAATGAATTTAATATTATAAAACAATTAGCAATTTAATTTATAAATTTTGAATTTATTTATTTACCAGAGCAGCAATGAATAGGAATAATAATATATTTACTGAGAGAATAATAATATATTTGGTGATGCAGCTGCTGTCTGGACGCGAGATGGAGGACAGGGACGGCGGAGGAGGACTTGTCGTCCCGTCCCTTCCTGCAGTCCGTGCTGGACGCCCTCAACTGCAGGGACAGCGACTACACCGCCCTCTTCTCCCTCTGTCTGCTCTACGCCCTCGCACATAATGCTGGTCAGCATAACGCATGTATACGGTGCTGGTCATAATGTTATGTTGCAATACACCGCCCTCTTCTCCCTCTGTCTGCTCTATGCCCTCGCACATAATGCTGGTCAGCATAACTCATGTATACGGTGCTGGTCATAATGTTATGTTATATAATAAGATATGATAATATTGTATAATCTTACATATTTTATCTTGACTATGCTACAATGCTACGTATTTATCGTCTACTCGCACAAAATGCCGGTCAGCTTAACGCATGTATGCAGTGCTGGTCATAATGTTATGTTATAATAACATGATATATTAAGGTGATGATATAGTATAATCTTGACTATTTTACAATGCTACGCATTTATGGTCTACTCGGACACAATGCCGGTTAGAATAACGCATGTATACGGTGCTGGTCATAGTGTTATGTTACGATAAGATGATATATTAATGTGATGATATAGTATAATCTTGACTGGTTTATCTTGACTATGTTATAATGAAACGTATTTATCATCTACTCGGACATAATGCCGTTTAGCATAACGCATATTTCCATTGCTGCTCTTACATATTTTTTTTAATATGTTAGAGTATCACGTATTTATTGTCTTGACCGCCACAGTGCCGGTTATTATAACCTATAATATTTTTAGTGCTGGTCATATATCTTTTCGCTTGGGTGTATTACATATTTATTGTTTACTCAGTCGCGAAGCTTATGCGATCATCTTTATTTGTAGTGCTTGTTTACGAACTCCGTCTGTCTGCATTGAACGCAGGTTTGAACGCTTCCATCATAAATTATTTAAACTCTTTAATGAGCTAAAATTAATAAGTTTGATGTACAATCTTCATCAAAATAGGGGTCTTTAATCCTCTTAACTAAGTGGGAAATACTGCATTTTCAATTATATTCTATGAATTAATCTACTCTAATGATCCAGGAAAGTAGCAAAGTTGTAATCTATTCTTCATCTATGATCATGTTTTTCAGGTTTCAGCGACCCCGATGGATCCAATGTCTCTAGCCAATCGGAACACAATTTCAAGAGATACAATCCTGACCCTAGAGACAATGAAATTCTCGATCCTATTCCCAGCCAGTTATCCGCATCCACAAACCTAAATCCTAATATTGACAGCCAGAGTTCTGATATGCCTTCGAAGCCATCACATGTAAATCCTGATCGCGATACAAACTCGGGAGTCTCACAACGTAACTCCGTCCGTTCAAACGAAGTGAACAATGTTGTTGACAACACATACGTGCCGTTGAACATCAAGACTGGGCTAGAAGCGCCCTCTGGTGGAGAAGACGATGTTGCATCGTCATGTAGTCGCGATGATCTGGAGGGAGATCCTGGGAAATCTTCATCATCTGAATATCATTCTGGTGCTGAAGGTTATGGACCTGCGGATGGCAGTGATAGCAGCGACCATTGTAGCTCGCAACATCGCAGAGAAGCTTCAGTACTTAATAAATTATTAATGAATGACGCCAAATCTGATGGAGGTTTAAAGAAACCTGGTTACAGTGGAGGTAAAGACGCTACACGTGATGTAGGCTTACAAGGAAGTGATAATGATGGAGGAACAGGCGAGCGAAGTGTCGGCATTGGGGAGGGAAATCACCGAAAGTTGAGCGCCACTGCAAGCGTACGGCGGTCGTCCGACCAAGTAGCAGACGGTGTCAATGAACCACCTGGCTGCGTTAACGTACCAGCTGCTGGCGTCAATATACTAGCTGACGGAGTAAACGTATCATCTGGCAGCGTCAACGTACCAGCTGGCAGCGTCAACGTATCAGCTGGCAGCGTAAACGTATCAGCTGGCAGCGTCAACGTATCACCTGGCTGCGTCAACTCACCAGCTGGCGGTGCTTCGTACAATTCACTTCTGGTGGATAAGATGCTACACGTGATCTCTCTGAGCACACAGTACAGTGAGTGCTTCTATCTGGCATTTGTGAGTGCTTCTATCTGTGGCAATTAAATTCATGTATGAATTTGATTGCCACAATTAAATTAAATTGAATTAAATTCATATATGAATTTAATTCAAAATGTGTTCTAGAACTAACGATGGAACTCATCTCCAAAGCCAGCTCCGATGAAGCTGATTTTCATTGAAAACATGATGAATTTTCTTTTATATTCAATTCTTACCCATTAGACATACAGTGGGGGGAAATAAATATTCGTACACTTGAAAAATCGTATTTTAATGTATGTAAGTACACAAACTTAACAGGAAAAGTGATTTAAATTATGTATAGAGACGCATAGTATTCAAAAATACTATCAAAAGAAATTAAAAATCAATGCAACAAGAAACAATGCAACATGTTCACTTTTCGGGTGAAAAAAGTATTCGTACAAAACAATAAATCCGCATTATTTCAATTTAATACTTGGTTGAATACCCTTTATTCAGCTCAACAGAACCCAACAAACATTGAGAATCTTAAGGTGGTGTGCCAAGAAGAATGGTATAAAATACCAGTCAGCATCTGCAAATCATTGGTCGAGACGTATAGAAATAGACTGGCATCTGTTGAGCTGAATAAAGGGTATTCAACCAAGTATTAAATTGAAATAATGCGGGTTTATTGTTTTGTACGAATACTTTTTTTACCCGAAAAGTGAACATGTTGCATTGTTTTTTGTTGCATTGAGATTTAATTTCTTTTGATAGTATTTTTGAATACTATGCGTCTCTATACATAATTTAAATCACTTTTCCTGTTAAGTTTGTGTACTTACATACATTAAAATACGACTTTTCAAGTGTACGAATATTTATTTCCCCCCACTGTATGTGTGTTATTTTTATATTTTTGTTCTCTCGAGACGCTTTCGTTGGCAATCTTATCTGATCTTTGTGAAAGACTCATTTGGGGTTTCCACATACGCACCATCTTCATCAGTGTGCTAACATTTTTACATACAAATTTTGACCTACGGTATCTGCTGAACTGTGATAGCTTTTTCTGTTGCTATATCGTGTCCCATACATTTATTGTGATCTGTGAGCACAGGCTTTATCAGCTTTTTCTTAATTTCTTCAATATGTAACGTGTCCTTTGAGATTCTGATTGTACCTGACGTTCCGATAATCTCTTCGGAGAAAACTAATCAATAATGACAATGATAATAAAACTTATTGCTGTACCTACAGACAGCAAAGTGCGGGTCGTGACCCTTGAAATAGCCATCCATGTCCTGAAGCAAGTCGTGGGTCTCACCAGCCCTGCTGAGCACTGCAGGGACCACCAGCCGCCCCCCTTGTGTAATGGCGGTGAGATATTTGTTTTTGTGTGCTCTTACTCAATAAAAATACGATGGTGTGTGTCCGTATAAAATTATTGTTTAATTCTTTTCTGACAATCAACCACAAAACTTCCAGGCTAATAATTTATTCTGCCAGGGTAAACTATATAACTATAATAGTAACTTTTATATCGAAAGTATGTAGTTGCATAATAGATTATCTTTCACTACGATATTTTTAACATATCTGATATAATTTGTGTTTCTAATTCACCTCAAAATAACTGCTTTCAGTGACTAACCAAGATTCTGATGCGGAACGGATACGGTCGCGAGAAAACAGCTCGGTAAGAGAATCTGACAATTCAAGACTTGAAGAAGATCCTCAGCCTTCCGCTGCCTCCATCGTATTCTCCGCCTCGTGTTCTTGTCCTGAAGCCTCAGGCGAAGGTCCCTGCACTTCATGTAGCGCCCTCCCGAAGGCGACCGTCTCCTCTCCATGTCACCGGAAAGATTCCAGTGTTCCAAGTTACGTTGGCAGTGAAAATAATTTTCAAGCGTCCGCAAATACGTCGTCTTGTGACGCCAATGAGATTATTGATCTAAAAAACAAGGTTAGCGACAGTGACCTTGGCGTTGCAGTAGAAGAACGGCCGTCTCGGTCGCGTGGGAAGAACCGTCCGTCCCGTCCTGTGTCTGGCAATAAAGCTTTGTTGTCTGACGAACATTTGGCTGCACTCGAGGGTGCGAGGGAAGAGGCTACCCTCGTTCTAAGGAACTATTACAAGGTTGGTTTTAAAATATTACCTACCGTACCAAGTTCATGTACTACACACTTGGTAAAATGGATGGGTCATGTTGTGCAAATAGTGACTCCTTATTTATGAGACTCCTTATTTATGAGACTCCTTATTTATGAGACTCCTTATTTATGAGACTCCTTATTTATGAGACACTAGGATGGGGGGTCGCTAAGTTTGTAGGATTCCTACAGGTCATTAATTAACTCCATTTTTACTATTGCTTTTCATACAATTAGCATTTATTAAATTTATTCGGTGCCAGGATTGTTATTATACTTAATTGGAGAGTAATTATTATTATAATGATTTAAACATTGTTGTTAATATTAGTATTAGTTAATATATATTTATACTTCCTCAATTATCACTATAATTATGTAATAAATTGATCATTATTATAGTTATCCAATATATTTGTTATTATTATTATTAGTGAAAAAATTACTTCTATCACTATATTCATTACAATTATTATTATAATTAATAATAACTGTATGTGCAGAGTGAAGAGATGTTCTTGGATCTGTTCGAGGACGAGTGGAGTCACAGCGGGTGTGGGGGAGCAGACACCAGCAGCCGCCCCATGTCGGAGTCGCTGCGGGTGGAGTACTTGTTGCAGGACTCCAGCATCCTGCTGCCTCCTACGGCCACGCCCCTCACTGGCATCGCCCTCAACAGACGCAGGCCTTGTGGCGAGGTCTGCCCATTTTTCATTTATTTAATCATATAATTTAGTGTATTTTCAAGAATTTTAGTTAAAATGATATTTCAAGCATTAAAATGACGAAATCTACGCAGTTTTAATCTATTTTAGCAATTAATTTGGTGTATTTTCAAGCATTTCAGTTAAAATAATATTAAAATAATATTTCAAGCATTAAAATTAAAATAATACCAGATTGCGACATGAATAAGCCTAATTTTTAAATATTTCTATTATATTCTGGTTGAACAGTATTTACTTTATTTGAACTATCCTACATTTGTATATATTTAAATTAATTTATTTTCATTATAATTGTGAAACATCACAATTTTTGTACTTGAATTTTGAAAGTTTGCAATTTAAATTATAATTTTTTTGTAATGTTATTTTTATGTGTGTATTAAGTAATATTTCATTCTAAATTTAGAATCACGTAATTTTTGCATTAAGGTGGAGCGTGCGCGTCGTGCGATGCGCGTGTTCTTCCTGGTGCGTGGTGCGTGTCTGGCCATGCGTGGCGAGCATGACACGCAACTGCCCCTCACGCGCCCCTCAGCCTGCGTCAGAGTCAACGACGTCCTCGACCTCAGTGAGACGTGTGACGTTACGTGACGTTATGTTACGTGACGTTATGTTACGTGACGTTATGTTATGCGACGTTATGTCAAGTGACGTGACGTTATGTCAAGTGACGTGATGTTATGTTACGAGACGTGATGTTATGTTACGTGACATTATGTTACGCGACGTTATGTCACGTGACGTTATGTTACGTGACGTTATGTCACGTGACGTTATGTTACGTGACGTTATGTTACGTGACGTTATGTCACGTGATGTTATGTCACGTGATGTTATGTCACGTGACGTTATGTTACGTGACGTTATGTCACGTGACGTTATGTTACGTGACGTTATGTCACGTGACGTTATACAAGTGACGTGACGTTATGTCAAGTGACGTGACGTTATGTCAAGTGACGTGACGTTATGTCAAGTGACAGCGACCTGATCGCTATCGTTATGAATTGCTTATATCCCAAGATGGCCTAATCAGAGGTGACACCATTCTATATTATTGTCATTATATATGACATATATCACAATTATATATCATTGCACATTATATATATTACAAATATATGTCATTATATTATATATATATTACAATTAAATATCATTGTGTATTGGTGTTCAGATAACAGTGACCTGATAGCGTGCGTGGTGATTCCCCGTGATGGTGAGCGGTGCCGCCGGTTCCTGGTGATCGACGTCCTACAGCTGATCCTGGTGGAGCCTGACCAGCGGCGGCTAGGATGGGGGGTCGCTAAGTTTGTAGGATTCCTACAGGTCAATACTTAACTTACTATACTAACTCTTACTATTGTTATTCATACAATAATATTTTTTTAATATATTCAGGCGCCTAGGATGGTAGGATGGGGGGTTGCCAAGTTTGTAGGATTCCTACAGGTCATTAATTAACTTACTATACTTACTCTTACTATTGTTATTCATACATTGATATTTATTTAATATATTCAGGCGCCTAGGATGGTAGGATGGGGGGTTGCTAAGTTTGTAGGATTCCTACAGGTCATTACTTAACTACATTTTTACTATTGCTTTTCATACAATTAGTATTTATTAAATTTATTCTGTTTCAGGATTGTTATTATAATTAACTGGAAATTTATCATTATATAGTCATACAATATATGCGTTATTGTTATTACATACCATAATATATTTATTTAGTTACTAAATTATTATTATTATTACCTATGTAGTTATTCAATATATTTGTTATTATTATTATAATTTAATACAGCTATTTACTTCCGTGAACATTATTATAATTATTTAATAAATATACTATTACTGAATTTATCCAATATATTTATTATTTTATATATACAGTACCGCCATCATTATCATATTTATTTCATATAGGTTTATGTTATTATTAAAGGTATTATATATTTCTCGCTACATATTTATATCGCTATATTTCTTCAGTACCTGGAAGTGAGTGGAGACAAGGACGACTCCCGCGTGCTCCACCTGACCATCCACCACCCCGCCTCCGCCGCCGCCGCCTCCACCTCCTCCACCTCCATGCGCCCCTCCACCTCCAGGGCCGCCCCCCCGCCCGCTCCCCTCCTCTCCGCTAAATTCATTTTCGATGATCACATCCGATGTATGGCCGCCAAACAACGGTGAATGAATGAATTATTTCCCATATTAATGTTGTTAATTTTAACGGAGAAATGGGATAGTTGGAATAATTTTACGTTAAAATGAACGAAGATGAACGTTGATCATTGAAATGATCATTTGTCATAATTAAAAATGAACCCTGACTAGGTTAAATTACTTAATAAAATCTATTCTATATTTTGTCTTAATTATTACGTAGCAAGACAACTCATGGCGTTTTTGCTGTACTGTGTAGGCTGTGCAATGCAGGTATTTCTTTTCATAATTTGCCACAACTTTTCTAATGCTGTGCAGGGGAGGGTTTTCCAATTGACTTGTCGATTATTTTTTAATAATTTATAGTAAACATTTACTGACGCGGTGCTATGCAGGAGAGTTTTTTCTAAAGAATCTGTCCATTAATTTTTAAACATACATGGTAAACATCTATTGACACTTTTCAGGCTGTGCAGGGAAGGTTTTTCTAATTAATCTGTCTATTTATTTTCAATAGTAAATAGTAAAGATTTATTTTGGCGGTGCTGTGCTGTGCAGGCTGTGCAGGGGAGGTATTTTACTCAATAATTCACCCATTACGTTAACAATGATAACGCAGGCTGTGCAAAGGGCGCAACAAGGCCCGGCAGCGCAAGCTGCAGCAGATCGCGCGGCTGCTGGAGCTGCCGAGCCACATCCTGCCCTCCTGCCCCTCACCGCCCTCACATCCCCTCTCTGCCATGAGGCTAGAGGCACATCACCACCACCGTGAGCATGTTGTTATCATGTTGTTATGTTGTTATCATGTTGTTCTAATGTTGTTGTTTTTTGTTATCATGATGTCATCATGTGGTATCATGTTGCTGCACCATCTTGTTGTTATTAAATATTTAAAAAAGAAACTAGCATTATTTAAGGAGTCTTATCTGTCATGTAAGGCACAATTCAACTTATGAACGTGAGTTTTTATATAAAATATTAAGTGTGAGGTTAAGTGTGAGGTTGACCTGCAGGGCGAGGACTCAGCGGCCACCGCGGGTCTGATGGCCGCAGCGGCCGCAGTGGCCGCGTGCCGGGCAGAGCGACCAGCCAGTCCTTCACTGGCGGACTGTCCGCATCTCTGACGGACAGTGGCCACTACTCAGGTGAATTATTCTCTTATTACACGGTAATTATGTTCTCATTGAACGTTAATTATGCTCTTATTTCACGTTAATTATGCTCTCATTTCACGTTCGTTCTTGATGTCATTTTGGTTTTTCTTGTGTCCTTGAGAAGTGCGCACTTAGGGAAATGAATGTGACTCAGTGCTGCACGAACGGTTTCACTATTTGGACTTTACGACACATCAATTTTGCGGAGTGCAAGTAATTTTAGCGCCCGATTGTCAGCCTCATTGCAGTGGTATCATTTGTCTGATGTTTTCATTTGATTTTAATTTTCATGAGCTTATGCCTGGTTTTAATTCTTTTAATCTATTTGTGTTTCAATAATAGGAACGTTATTTAACTTACCGAACGTTATTTCAGTCCTACTGAACGTTAGTTCAGTCCTAATGATCGTTTTGCCCCCTCCCCCCCAGACGCGGGCCGGTCTCCGCGCCCAGCGCCGGAGGAGATCGCGCTCGAAGACCTCCCCGCCCCGCCGACTGCGGGCGCTCAGGTGAGACCGGAGCCCTCATGACATTATTTTCTATGAGGGGAATTGCATTTTCTCCTGGGAAATATTTTCTGGAATTGAAATGACATCTCGCATTGTTATTTCATCAATCATCAGTTAATATATTGAATCGGGAATTTCTGTCTGTTAATAAGTATCACGAAATTTTGCCGGCAATTCGAAAATGAAGGAAATCAGGAAAAGCAAGTGCATTTTACTGTCTCTGAATTTTGGGCTTCATTTAAGCTTAGTTAAAATTTTGAAACAATTTTTTAAGCCTGATTGAGTACTTATTTGAAGTGAAGTACACCACTACGAATAATTTTTATAAGAAATGTCTTATTTCGATACTGCGTGTTTTATCAAACTCGAACAAACTTGAATTAAAATACGTGTGTGAATTTTTTTTCCCGTTATGGAAATGTTAACTTTACTGAAAATGTACTGCAGATGAACTTAACTCGAATCTTATCGAATTATTACTTATTGAATCGCCCATTTCAACTGCGATCAAATATCAACTGTGAAAATTTAACTCCACCCAAATCTTGGTAGAATAAACTTGTACCAAACCCACTGTCTAAGCTGCCATATGAAGAAAATTCATTCTTTATTCCATTGGCTCTGGCAAACTTTTCATGATTCCATCACATTCTCGCTTTCACTGACATCTTTTCATTGTCGCCACCACCTCTTTCCTCACAAGCTTATCACTCTTACGCTTTCTTTATTAGAATAAATTAGTCTTTAGTTAATAGTTTTTTAATTAATGACTTCATTTAGACGGTCCTATAACATTAGGCACGCAAGGTAACTTGACCGGCATGATACTATGGCGTGTCGGTTCATTTGGGCATGATACATTTATTTAGAAATTAATAGGAAACTAAATCCAATTTAAATAAATCTCGACACAAACTTCCTCATGACGAAATATTTTTCATGTCCCACTTCATTACGCAGGGAAATCATCCGTACCTGCGACGGCTGTAGGGATGCTACGGCTGCTGTGTCAACACAAGACTTGTATGGAACTCGAAATATACAATGTGTGTTGTATACAAACATGAATCCTGCATCCATCGTACGACTGTTCTCCAAACTTTTTATGTGATTTCTTATACCTCAGTTGTTTGTGTGTTATTTCGTGTTGGTTGACTGCAATTATACACTCGATTGTCAATGTAACAATGTTACGCATTTATGGTCTACTCGGACATAATGCCGGTCAGAATAACTCATGTATACGGTGCTGGTCATAATGTTATGTTGCAATACACCGCCCTCTTCTCCCTCTGTCTGCTCTATGCCCTCACACATAATGCTGGTCAGCATAACTCATGTATATGGTGCTGGTCATAATGTTATGTTACAATAAAATGATATATTAATTTGATGATATAGTACCTAGTATAATCTTGACTATGTTACAATGCTACGCATTTATGGTCTACTCGGACATAATGCCGGTTTGTATAACGCATGTATACGGTGCTGGTCATAGTGTTATGTTACTATAACATATTATAATGATACGTATTTATGGTCTATTTATCATCTACTCGGACATAATGCCGGTTAGCATAAAGCATATTTTGATTGCTGCTCTTTCATATTTTTTCTTGAATATGTTAAAGTGTCACATATTTATTGTCTTGACCGCCACAGTGCCGGTTATTATAACCTATAATATTTTTAGTGCTGGTCATATATCTTTTCGCTTGGGTGTATTACATATTAGTTTCGTCCTATAATGATCGTTAGTTCCGTCCTATAATGATCGTTAATTCCGTCCTAGTGAACGTTAGTTCCGTCCTAATGATCGTTGTACCTCCCCAGACGCGGGCCGGTCGCCGCGCCCAGCGCCAGAGGAGATCGCGCTCGAAGACCTCCCCGTCCCGCCGACCGCGGGCGCTCAGGTGAGACCGGAGCCCTCAGAACATCATTTTCTATTATTGTTAACTTCTTTATTCCACTTGCTCTGGCAAACTTTTCACGATTCCCTCACATTCTCGCTTTAACTGAAACCCTTTTATTCCCGCCACCATCTCCTTCGTCACAAGCTCATCACTCCTACGCTTTCTTTATCAGAATAAACGCATAGTCCTTAGAAATAATTTTTTAATTAATTACTTTATTTAGACGGTCCTATAACATAAGTCACGCAGAGTAATTTGACCGGCATGGCACTGTAGCGTGTCGGTTAATTCGCATTTATTTTGAACTCAATATGAAGGAAATTCAATTTTATATAATTCCTCTAACAAACTTCCTCATGACGAAATATTTTTCATGTCCCACTTCATTACGCAGGGAAATCATCCGTACCTGCGACGGCTGTAGGGATGCTACGGCTGCTGTGTCAACACAAGACTTGTATGGAACTCGAAATATACAATGTGTGTTGTATACAAACATGAATCCTGCATCCATCGTACGACTGTTCTCCAAACTTTTTATGTGATTTCTTATACCTCAGTTGTTTGTGTGTTATTTCGTGTTGGTTGACTGCAATTATACACTCGAAGCAATGAGCGAGACTTGTTCCAAATAAAAATGCATTTTTTGCTCTTATGTGGGTCATCCTGACCCAGTTTGGCCCGGTGAGAGGTCAGTGCTGCGGCCGCTCATTGTTCGTGCTGTGAGTAAGAAAGTGTCATTATTTGGACAATATAAGTTTATGAACCATTCATTTTTCTAAGTGTACGATGTTCGTTCACAGCTACGCTTCCTCTGCCGCTGGACGCAGTGAACGAATACGCTTTTAACTATCTTTGTAATTATTTATTTATTGCTGACGCATTTAATTAATCATGACGCATTAACTTATGTTCTACGCATCTGCCAAAGCGTGCCAAAGATGAATTCTTGTGCATCGCACAAATTGTACAAATAAGAAGTGAAGTTAAACAGCTTAAATGTTGCGCCGGTTTGTCCATATTTCGGCCTCCATCGTCAAAAATATATGAAAAATTATTGCCATCATATTCTCTTTTCTTGTACCGCAATCTTAGAAATGAACTTGTTAATTTGTTCTATTTAAATGCTGAGTGAATAGCGTTAGCTTTTTTTTTTTTTTTGAGGCAAAGTTATTATTTCGTTTTCTAAAATTGTTTTTCTAAATGCATCGTTTTATGAACTTTCAGTTAGGTTGGCATTGTCCGAGGCTATTAGTTTTGTCTGCTTTATGCTAATAGTTTGTAAATATTTTATTATTGAGATTATCGACCTACTACAATAAATTGTATCGTAGATTTTGTGTTATTAGCAAATGAACTAATATTTCATATCTAGTTATACATTATTCTCTAAGTTCTAATCGTAATGCTTTCCATGTTGATTCTTCTTATAACTTTTCTACAATTCTAAGTTTAAGTTATCGCTATTCTTATTTTATGCATGTGAGGTTATTTTCAACTTAACCCATCTGCAATTTCGCCATTCAGCTTTTTTCGTGACAATTTTCATGTGAGCTTTAAAGTATTTCCATTAATTCTAAAAAAATTGTACTCCGCGTTAAACTTTGAGTCATTTTGCGCTCTTTAGTTTTTCAGCCTCGAAGTCCAATGACTCCGCAGGATACATGCCTTCCTCTTCAATAGGATATTGTGTAAAACCAATATCTCGAAACACTTGTTATGTTGTGGATGTTCTGTACATAGGAGCGCAGTGTACTGTAGTACAGTGGTACACGTATAATGGTCTTGGGTGCAGCTAAGTTAGGGGGTTCAATACCCTGACAGTGTTGCAAACTTGCAAAATTTCTCATGTCCCTTTGTAAGAGACGTCGAAGGTGGTGCATCAGCATGGCCGTGAGCGGTGCCCAAAACAATTGGGCAATTTTAGGGTCTTAAGGCTTTAGTAAAGCTTATATGAGTTGCATGGCTTTCCGCCCATATAATTACCTGTCAAATGTTTTGTATGGTGTTGTGGTGAGAAAATGTGAAAAATAGGATCTGAATATCTGGTGAATAATAGGCCAATAACATGTATAAAACGTGTGTATATTAAGGCTGGTTCACCAAGGCTGGTTTTAGCTTGGCTGTGACTAGTACCGCTGGCTGCTTATTTCTGGGACTTTAGCACTAGTGCTTGTAGTCTCGTCATAGTCACGTCATCGTAAGCAGGTAGCAAATCGCTGCAAATTCTTAATATTTGGTCCGCCAATCATCCCATATTAATGGTCAATCAGTATTATATTGTAATGCTGATAATTCCTTGAATTTTTCAGCGTATTCTGCCTGCCAGTCCCTTTTTTGTGCATTATTCCTAGATAACGAATATTAACATTAATTCAGCAATCACTTTCTATTTATGAGCTCATGTTACCAACATGTGACGTGAAACTTAAGACCATCACAACTCGTTATCTAATTAATGGTTATTGTAATTGCCTCACTCGTGCATTCTCCAGGCTCATGTCTGCTTCTCCTTCCACCAAATTTAATGTGGAATCGCTGTTAATTTCTTCATTATAAATTAAACTTTTGGAATCAAAGATTATTATTTCGATCCTACCGCTGTGCTCTTGAAGTAGTATTGTTGCAGCGTTTTGTAATATAAAAGTAACGTGTATTTTCCAGCTCAGTGTAAATTTTTGAAGTCGCGTTAAATTATAAATCGCGCAATGAACGAACAATTATCATTACTCATTTACATACATTAGCCCTCTAATTGGGTAGCTGAGAAAGTTATAATATTTACCGCAATACAATTCTTCATACTGAAGGATTAGTGGCTCCTGCACCCTTCTGGGACTGACGAGCTCTACCCTTAATTAACTTACTTACGAACTTAATTGCTTACTTAACTTACAATTTGAAAATTAGCTCTCCAAGGCGTACCATTGATAACATTGCTCTGCACAATGTAGTCTTAAAAAGTTAAATTGCAAGTGCCTTGAAAGTTTATTGATCTGCATTTTTTTTTTTTGTTGAGATTCAAGTGTGTCGGGAAATAATATTACGTACATGAATTTGTAGAGAAAGATTTACTTTAGCTCTTTGTAAACATCAGTTAATAAACTTAAGGGTAATTATAACAATAAATGATATTGAAATTAAGTATAAATAATTGATCTACTATACTTAGCACTACATAATGAGCCATGAAAACTAATATTAAAGACTAGTTCTTTTCCTCCTCTCCGCAATGCCTCATGCTAGACGACACGTCTATAATAATTATATTGATTACTTTTGTAGAATGTTATATTTGCAAACTTTAATTTTTTATGGTGAGATCTATCAAGTTTGCTGCAGAATAACCGATGTTTTTACAGTTGAACTCCACTAGCGATCATTATCTTATAAAAATCGATAATGATCGAGACGAACGTTACGATATTTTTCTTAAGTATGCGTAAGTTTAAGTTAAGAAGATTTTCGTTGTTAGAAGTGGTGCATCGAGTTGAAGTTGTCCCTGTTTTTGAAGACTGGGCCCCAGGACCCGCTGTTGTTTTGCTTGTTAGTCGAGCACGAGCCATGCGGTTGCTTGCTGCTGCTGCTGCTGTTCTTAAGGCAGCTCTTGTTGCCATAATTCGAGGCTGGCACTTGCTTCCTGGAGAGCAAAATAAGTTATTATTAATTATGAATATTTTTAGCTGGAAATCCTCATAGAAATGATGAAAAGAAAGCCTTTTTCTATCAGTTTAATTCTAGTAATGAGGTATGCGTATTTATTTAAATTGTGTTAAAATGCTTTTCAATGGTGAAACGATTAACATGTTCATAAATCTACTACTGATTTACTCCCACGCAAATGGACTATATCTATGCGATTGAAATTTTCGCTCAAGCTATCTTAGTATAATATGATAATATAGCAGTGTTGACATTGATCAGGCTATATATGAATGTCGCCGATTTTTAACCGTCCGGCCACCTTGCCGATTTCGACCAGAATTTTCACATTTTCACAATTAGTCGTACGTTTCGAACCCCCAACTCGCTGCTCTAAGTTTGGCAATACTAACTACTTGGCTGCTGGAAATGGTGAACCCAATCGTTAAGACTCAAATGGGAACCATTCTTTAATGGACTTGGTCTATTCATATAAACCGCTTTTTTTTGTGGACCCAATTCAACTCACCGTGAGTGCGGTTCACCCCAGCCAGCGCTGCTGTTGGCAGTAACGCTGTCTCTGTCCAAAACCATCGTGATGTTTTATGGCCTCGCTGTCACTTCAATTTTTCTTTGGAGATCCTAAAATCTTAGTGAGTCTGCAGATCTGAAAGAATAAAGAATAGTTATTGGAAAATACTGGTACACCGAGTATCGACAGTTCGACACATTCGATGACATTACGTGTTTCCCTTATCCTGGATTCATTAAAGCTGTTTTTTAAAGAGTTGATTTTCAATTTAATTGCACAGTTCAGCTCGTATGGTTAAATCACTAAGATTTGAGCTGCAAGTTGAAGGTTTGAAACTCACAACTAGTTGTAAAATTCTTGTCGAAATCGGCACGATGGCCGGGTGGTTAAGAATCCGCAACAAACCAATGTCCTATTCAACGCTGGCACAAATATATTATGATAATAACATTTAAACTCATTCCAAAGTTGCGATGACGCTGAACTCTCTAACAGTAATAACTATCAGTAATTGTCAAAATCATAGATAACTTGACTAGGGATAACTTACTTCAAGGGACAGAGTGCGTGTTGACCAGAACGCTGAGCTCGAGCCAGTTAGCGCAGTTAGCTAAACGACTGCCACGCGAGGTCGCCGGGTTGGAGGCAATACTGTTGGTGGAGATACGAGTTTATTATTATTATTATTTGCGTAACTACCTGATATTGCACAAATAATTTCATATCATGAGAATCACGCAGAAGTTTGTTGGATTATATAATGATAATACTATCATCCATATTTAGTTTTGTGAAGTATTGGACATTGACTAAAGATTCTCACATCAAGTTCGTTGACTCAAAATGAGACTCCAGTGTCACAAAAGTAACTTGAAGTTTCAAGCGACAAAGTTGCAGTGCATGCAAGAGAACTGTGTGTAGCAGAGTGCTAGCATCGAATATACCGAGATTGCTCGCACTTGCCTTTTATAAAGCGACTTTCTGTACTCACCGAAATAACGACGCAGGGTTTAATAGCTCCTGCATGGCGATGCCGGTTCTCGGAACTGATTTGGACGCCACTGCAGCTTTACTCAGAACTGACGCGAATCTTGTCCTCTTACTCAGAACTGACTAAACTCGTTCGCCATGCATGTTGCTACTCGCAACATTGACTGGTCTTGTTGGGCGCGAGAAGGTTTTTTTTACGCAACCTTCGCTCACAAGGATCTCTTAGTTGCGCAGTAGTTTATCCCATTCGCTACTACTGCATGCCATCCAAATGCCTTCAAACGATTTTGTTTTTTACATGTTAAGTAACAATATACAAATATTTAATGTACTTTGATTGAATTGTTCATTTTTTTCATTTTAAAAAGTCTTCGTATTTAATGGCAATCTTTAAAACGAGAGCTTGTTATCCACCCCACAACAACTTTCGTATTTCACTTGAACGAGAAATTGCGTAAAGGAGTTCATTTCATTCGTTCTCCTGGTGACCATTTAGGCTATTTTTTGATCAAAATTGAATACTTATTCTAACTTAACAATTGAGTCGCATTTTAACGCATGTCCAAATATTTTAACTACAGATGATTCCTGAAGTATAGCGCCTGGTAATAGGTTTTCCCAACCGAATAAAATTATGAGAAGCTTAGAGCTGAAATTTTTTTCAAGCTTTAATTATCCCGTTACTCTTCAATTTGTTTTGTCCTTGAATCAATATCATGATGATGCTCAGCCTGAGGTTAATTTGTAGCGCTCTTGTTGTTTCTTAATGAGTTGCACTAAAGGACCGGTAAAGGTCTTGGGTAAGCATCAGAACAAAGTGATAATGCAGTCATCACTATAAACATTTTCACGTTAGCGTTGACTGGAACCAATAACGTCGTTTATGCTTGTCCTACTCACGACTCATATTCATTATACAAGCGCTTGCGCAAGTCGTCCATCTGACAGTTGATTAATGTCAAACGGCGGTTCCTTTGCAATCGGCTTATCGAATTATGACCATCTATATATTTTGATTTATGAGCGAATTTGAAACGCGTACGTATACTCAGAATGTTAAATGAAATTGATTTCTGATCCCTGATAGTTAGAAACACTAGCGCTCACTCTCCAAGAACCGTCCTCTATCGGTAATTATAAGAAGCTTAATTAAACATCTTATTTGATTTATAATAATGACCTCATTTAATAAGAATAATGTGAATGTTTGTTCACACAAATTCAATGTAATTCAGATATATTTATATCATTAGTCTGCTTAAATTGCAAGTTCGCCAAGAATTTACAAGCAAAAAAAAAAACGCTAAGGAAGTTCATCATATCTTCAATGAAAACGTTTTGACTGAAGATACGGTGAACTTGCTTGTTATTTTCATTGCGTTTAAATTCAAGGTAATTTAATATTAAGTGTTTTGTTCTTATTCGAAGACGCTTATGCCCGAATTGTGTATAGCGATCGACTGAGCCGCATCACCAGGAGGCTTGCTATCAAATAAGCTACGACTTCGTAAATTCATCAGCCAATCTCTGATGACTTTTCAAGCTAAACCCACCAATCAAAGACGAGAAATATGCCGTTACGTGTACAATGGCCGTTACGTGTACTAAGGTCGCTACGTGTAATAAGGCCGTTACGTGTACTAAGGCTGCTAAGTGTACTAAGGTCGCTACGTGTAATAAGGCCGCTAAGTGTACTAAGGCCGCTAGTGTAATAAGGCCGTTACGTGTACTAAGGCTGCTAAGTGTACTAAGGCCGTTAGTTATAAACAAGGCTACTGCATGGTTTATAAAAGTTAAATGTGAAGGTTGATGGCCAATGCTTTGAATGTGTAGAAAATCTTTTATGAGATGAAAATCTCAGTTTTCTATGAGCGAGTCCTTTAACATTCAATGCATAATGTTTTGCAAATGAGGCGATTTTTCTCATAAAGAGCAGGAAAAAGACTTATTACGGGTATCTATTACGTGTGGATGATATACAATATACTCGTTTTTTGTGCGTCTCTTTTAGCAATCCACAGTTTTGAACAAACTCTACATTCATCACAACGAGTACTCTTCTTTTAACATGTCTAGTTTTTATGTACAGATTTAATTTTGAATTCAAATATAGTTTAGAAAATATGGATTTGGTATTGACAAGTGTTATAGTTATTGCTTCAGAAAGTACGAATTTTGCAGGCACAAGAGACTTGTAGTTAAAATGTAAAAAATTGAACTGGTTTTAGTTTCTGGGAACCGTACTCTGTTTCAGCTCGCTGGCTCAGAACCAGTTCTGGGAAAGAGACATCTTACCCTGCAGTGATAATTGCTCGCTTCATGGCTACGTTCACCAAGTTTTAAGAATATACTTTGGTTAATAAGCTGATATGGTTAAAATTCCGCGGAAAACATAAGCTAGGCGGAAAATTTTTTGAAGGTTGCAGGGAGCAAAACGTAAATTCTGTCAAATTCATCCAGTTCGTCATCCAAATTAGAATTCGTTTGTCCAATTGGCCTCGTGGATCATGAAATGCAAATGTTACTCAAATGCTACGAGTCACCAAAGGGATCTCTATTCGAGCTAATTATATAATTGAAATAGTGAAAAAGACGATATTAATACAGTGATATGAAATTGTATCTCACGTATTTAGTATAATCGCGTAACTTTAATAAACTGAGTTAACTCGCACTGAAGAGAACCCGTTTTTCGTCATTTATTTTCTTTCTTCATTCATGCCAACATTGACAAGAATGCTTGAATTTCACAAGATTTGGTCGCGAAATTGGAAATTAACCGACAAATTTTAGAATTTTTTCAGTAGCACCGACATATTGTTTTATTTTAACGATCAAAATATTGATAATTAAAATAACATTCGTAATTAAACATTGCTAAATGATAGTGATGTGGCGGTTTGCAAGAACTTTTGCTGTCAAATTATAAGACTGCGTTACATTGTGCGGGCAATCAACACCCTATTTGTTGTTTAGATCGAGTTTTCGTTACATAATATACCGAATCTTTTTTCCAGATTTCGCGCACAAACGATTTTGTTAATATATAATATTCTTACCGGTTGTTAAATATATATCAGTTTTCAGTGCAGATTATCATTGCCAAAAAAAGTATGAAAAGTTTTCTGGATTCACGCGGAATAATCGACTCAAGAATAAAAAATTTCACAGTGATTTTATTTCGGGGTTGTTCCCCAAAACATAATAATTAGGTCTCTATAGGTTATTTACTTGCTTGATTAGGTTTGATTAAATCAGGTGGAGTCAGGTAATAATGGATTAGGCTGCATTAGATTCTCTATGGTTTGGTTAAGCTGCTTTTGTTTAGACCAGGTTAACATGATATAATAATGAATGTAATGCAGAAAAATGTAATTTAACTTTTCAACGAAATCCAGAACAGTCTGGTATTCCAAACAAGATCCTGATCTTTTCCATATTACGTCAGGCTAGCGAAGGTGCCTCCGTAAGAAGGCAATCTTAAAACCGGTTCAGCCCGATGTATCCAGTTGGGGATATCAATAATTTAATTGGCGCTTTCGACATGAATTCTCATTTTTACTTCTATTCATTTTAATCCTGAATGAGTAGAAGGTGCACATCCTGATGCATTTGGTTCCGGAATAATGCTGAGAGCATTTATTAAGGGTTATCTGCACTTGAGAGGCACAATTTAGATAAGGCAACTGAAGGGTAACTCCTCTTTGCAGACGATAATAATGAAAACAACGGAAAATTTAAATGCTGCATTATGTTGTATCACATTTATTCTAGGAAAAACTTAGTCAATCAATTCTAATCATTGGAATTTATGGTATCACGTCGTCGCTTGCATTCAGCCTTTAAGGTCAAAACGAGACGACCCTCATATGTAGAATATTCTAATGTACTTATAATATATAACCATATAACATACAGCTAAATACATAATATATCGATAGTTTTCAGGTTTTAGGCATATTTCGGGGCGCTATATCGAGACGAGATGTTCTATACAAAATAGGCGAGTCATTTTCCCCCAGAATTACCATCTTTTCAACAGGACGTTACGATACACAACAGAACGTTCAGAAATGTCAACCTTCGACCTTGTGTTGCAACAAAGTATTATTGGTCACTGCAGGTTACGTTGGTCTTTTCTCATCGAAATTTGCCCAGCTATGCTTTACGGCGTCTTGAAGACTAATTGTTAAATTAAACTTTGACTCAATCACTGTTGGATATGAAAAAAATCATGAAAAAATTGCTCAATCACTGTTGGATATGAAAAAAATCATGAAAAAAATATATTTAAAAAAAAAAAATTATATATATCAGAAAAATTGAAAAGTATTTTTTTTTAATTTTCGAAAATTAGATAAGAAATTCATTGCACATCTGTAAGATTGGAGATACTGGATTCTTTGGAAGTGTTGTCTTTAAAAAGTAATTTTTAAACGTATATTATTTCCAATAACGATTTACTTTTTGTCCTCGTGTGGGTGGGACACAGTTTGGCCCTGTAAAAAGGCGCATGGGTCGGTCTGCTGGTGCATGGGTATGGATGTGATCCATTTACTATTTGGACATTTTTATCCATTTATTTAGTTAGTCATTTAGTTATTTATTTTATCCATTTATTTTTTTGACATTTGGATCCATTTATTATTTGGACCCACCCATTTTTCTGAGTGAGCCCGTCAAAACTCAAGAGTTTTATTTGTTGATCCTTCATCGTGCAGAATGTTGTCTGTTTCAAGCGTTATACGTTAGTCGAGACACAATTTTTTAATTCAGAGGTAAAACTATTATTCGGACTTTTAATTTTATTCTGAAGGATAAATTTTTCATTTATCTAACTATTTTTCTCCGGTACAGTTCTATTCTACACTAGTGCTCATTTCGAGAAAACTATTTAAAGGTTTGCCGCCGTCTTGTTAATTTAAGACAGGTTTTTTCTAGGTTTTTTTCGATGTTTCTTCTAGGTTTTTCTAGTTTCTTTTGGCTAGGGGTTTCCAATAATCTCGGTTTTTCTAGTTTTTTTTCTAGGTTTTTTTAAGTGGTCTCGACTTTCTAGGTTTTATTTAGGCATTCTACTTTTGTAATGATCGCAACATTTCAGATCGTTTACATTGTATAATATGATCTAATACTTTCATCTTCAAGTTATATCGTGATATGGAAATTTATGTCGTGTATGTATAATTATTTCACTGCAAACGTAAACGAATTTATGTCAATGCAAACTTTAGTTTGATTCAAATAAAAAATATCGTAAGTATTTTTTTGCCTTTTTTTTCAAGAATAGCTAGTTATTTGTCATATTATTGATGGACAATCTTTTATTTTTTATTAATTTTTTCAGGCGCCTAATGAAATAAGGATTGCAAGTAAAAGCGTCAAATCATTCCTGTATAGATTTATTTTGATTTCGTTTAAAATAAAGATAACATAAAATCCCAGAATTTAAATGGTTATAAATACGAAAAATTAGATCATACAACTGCAATGAGCAGCGAAGCTTAGTAAATTGTTAGCATTGAGCAGCTATGTTTCTCTATAGAGAATAAAGCATTTTAGATACTTTTCACGGAAAATACTTTGTATTTTAAATACTTTATCGGGGAAAATGGTTACCGCAGATGCAAGTCCTTCAACGTCAGAGGTATGTAAACATGATACAGTTGTGTTGATATTTTTTAATGACGGCTATGAGCTGACAAATTGATTATGGCTTGTCTATCAATCAATTGTTTTGTTCCATTTCATTATTAATTGCGAAGAATGCATGCATATTCATGTCAATATCTTTACAATCCCTTCTTGCCGTTGCCACTGAGATCACATCTGATATACTGACTTTTGTAGCTTAAGTTAAAGTAGTCCAAGTAACATATACCTAAGCCATTTCCGTTCATTTTTGATCGCATTGTACAAGTAATTTGAGTTTCCTGCATCATCCTGATTTTAATTCATGAATATCTTGGGGTTTTTAGTATTTCATTTAAACCTTAAAAACATCAAGCATTAATATCTAAAATACACTGATGATTATCATCGTAGCCACCCGATTTTTGAATCTCCTCGTGTTTTGATTTTCTTCATTTGAATAATTCGATGTTCTTGAATTAATCTCTCATTTCCACTGACGATTATCATGATGGCCACCCGATTTTTGAATTTCCTCGTATTTTGATTTTCTCTATTTAAATTATTAAATGTTATTGAGTTAATCTCTAATTTCCCCTGATGACTATCATCATGGCCGCCATTGGGCGCCGCGTCTCAGCAGAGATGCATGTCAACGAAGTGCTGACGGTCACGGAAGACCGGCCCCCAAGGGTCGGCCTGCGGCTGGGGGGCGCCACTAGACTTCTTCACCCGCTTGGTGCCAGACGTGTTTGGCTCCTGCAGCTTCTGGTACGACAATTGTCTGCAAAAAGATGGACGTTTTTTCGTAAGGACAGGTAAACAAATAGAATATAATTATTGTAATGCTGCATTATTATTTTTAATCTCTGTGTAGTCAGAATAATTTTCATTATGGAAGGTGAATAAATAGAATGCAATATATAATAGCTTTTTGAATAAAAAGAAAACAATGAGTGAGGAATTCTTTGAAGTGAGAATTTTTTGGTTGTGACAGATGAAAAAAATAAAATAAACTGAATGATAAATTCAGAGAACTTCAAATTTTTTCGTAAAAGCAGGAAACAAATTGAATAAAAACAATGGTAAGTTCTTAGTAGTCAGAATTTTTTGGTCTTGAAAGGGCGTGAATAGGATGAAATTAGCTATAAATTATGCGCGGGTGGAATTAGTGAGAAATTTAATGGGTTGTTTTTCGATCGGTGCTGGTTTAAATATGGTATCACATTACTATATGGCAGCTATTTTGAAAAATCATATAGTTGCATGAAAATAGTTTCAAATTAATTATTTTAATCTACACTATAAGGTTGTTGTCATTAGCTCACCTTGATTCAAGCGATCTCTTCTCGTTGTCGTGCAACTCTGAAGCAGCACTTCCCAAGCTGTTGAATGTATCGTAAACCATTCTGAATATTTCTTTCTCTTGATGGCGATAGACGATGAAAATCTGTTGATATTACGAGGCGGTGGATATTTTACTTTTTGCTGACGTTGAACTTTCAAGCTATAAGCGTTGAATCTTCACAGAAGACAGCGAGGCTTTCTTTTTTATGCGTAGAAATTGATTTGGAAGAGCTGAGGGGCAAGAGAAAAATAAATTTAAAATTCGTTAATGATTTTAATTTATGAATGAATTAATTCAAATGAAGAGGTTCATCGAGGCCTACCAATAACAGATTGTGATGCAATCAACAAAGACAAAAACGAGAACATGATTAATCTATTTTAAAGTCGTCTGAAAGTTCAACTAATATGTCATTGACATGTCGTTTATAAAATTTTTTGCGTTTTTAAATGAAGTTTTAGTTAAATTAGCAAACAATGATCGCTGAAATTTCAAAAAATAAACATGCATATCTGATAACAATGTTATAAGCTGTATAAATATTGTTCCTCATTTCAAATTTTTGTGCTTGCCTGCACTTGGGAATTTAAATGGCTTTATTCACCAAGCAAAACCTTAACATTTATTAAAATAAAATAAAATGAACTATTCAGATCAGCCAATTCATTTTAGTAAATCTACTCTCTTCGTCATTGGAATGCTCAAAAATGTGATAACAATATATTAAGAGGGAATTTTTTATTACTAAACCCACCTCAAGTGACAGAGTGAGTCTGCACCAGCACGCTGAGCTCGAGAACGTTACCGCAGTTAGCCAGACGACTGCCGCGCGATGTAGCCAGGACGGGGGCAGTGCTGGGGGGCAAATTAATATTTTGATAATATTAAATTTTATTTATTATGAATTTCTATTCTGTCTTGTGTCCGTAATTCATGCATTCATGTTCATCCAGGTATATTTTAATTATTATTCACATTTATTTATTTTATGTTCATCCGTAATTTTTAGCTTCTTACATTTCTAGAGGAATTTTTTTGTGCTAAAAAATATTATCTTTCATTGTTTTTCTAATCTCCCAATTCTCTCAAAAACAAAGCGCATTCGCTTGCTAGAACTGCAGTATAGATTACTATTTCCTTTATTTCTGTGATCTATCTTAATTTGCTTCTAAGTCAGGTTAATAAGCAGTAGTTTTTTGCGGGCATTTGAGGCCCACAAACAAGTCATGTTCAAGGATAACAACTTTGCCAGTGTTCAGTCCCCAAAAGAAGGCGTGTTGCGAGACATCGAGCATTTGGTGGATGGACATTGCCTGTCTGCTTCCTCTTAAAGGCCTTGAAATAAGGCGAAAAAAATCGCACCAATAGGAAACGAATCTTCCAAGGCAGAGCTTGCAATGCAACTTATTTGTCCGGTGTCATTCAGGCATCTCATTCTATTCATTATAATTATATTATTTATTTATAAAATTAAATTCGAGCCTGTTGTAAGAAATTGTAATGATTTTTGGTACTGTTTCGACGAATGTTGAATAAATATTACCGTCTTGATAGTGTTCTCTTCTATCTAATGAAAGAATTTACTTGTAAGACTTTCGATGTTAGGAATTTCTCAATAATGAATTAATTCACTTATAAAACATAATATTTAAATAAATATTTTAGACATCAATGTATTTCCATGTATGGCAATATTGGTTTTCTCTTCAAAAATTGTAAATAAATTTTAGGTTTCAGCAACGCGGGCAAAGAATTTAAAGTGGGAGTAACAAAGTAAACTAGATATCACGCGCAGCAATCGTGCTGGTCAAGTCGGTCAAAACTGGTCTCGAAAGTCCAAAGCAAAAAATATCGATCGACTCCCTGGCCCCTAGATCTACTCAACCTGCACTTGAGTTGCTGTTTTCATAGTGGAATTTAGAAGTGGAACTCTTATATAATTTTTATGTGTACCAGTCTTTAAACCTGCAGTATGAATTTGGCGTAGCACCAATAAAAACACCATGAATGTTGTCGGGAACTTGACAGAAATTGTGTCAATATAAAGTCTACGACGATTAATTTTTTACCATAGCTAATTTTCGTAGAAATACAATATTATTTGACGCCATTTGCCATTAAAAAACAGAAAATATTGTAATTTTAGGTTTTTTTTCACAGCGATATCATACGCAAAATAAAACATCAATGTCGGCCGAAAAATTTGCATACATATGAACAAAACTCACCTTGAACTCCTATCAGTAGAGCCGTAATAGAATCTCAACATTTATTTTTCGTATGATTGTCGGAGAGAAAAATATGGTCCCAAAAATAAATCAGGATGTTGGCTTGGTTGCCTTGAGGGAATGTTGGCGGCGGAGCTGGACACGCGAGCGACTGACTCTCAACAGAACACTTGCGATGATGAGAGGACCTGTTGAGCGCGTCCCTTATATAGGCGACAACCCGCCCCAAAACTTGAAAGTTGGCTCCTCGATCATGCAGCGCCGCCTGCTGGTGGCCCCAAACAAAGAGATTTTTTGCATTTCATATTGTATTATTCAATTTTTAAAGGTGCCGGCACAAATAGTATAAATTTGTTGGAATGTAAATTATTATAAATTTATTGGATAATAAATATATATAAAATTTATAAATTCGTATAATAAAGTATAGTATAAATTAGTATAAATTTGTTGGAATAATTTCCGAAGAAGATTCTTACAATCGTCTTTGATTTCTCTATTGTTGCAACGATCTTCGAAAATGTCGTCTTTGTTTGTATGGAGTGGTAGTAAACCAAGAATTCATTTGCATTTAAGAAGGCCAGCTTTAAGTCATATATTATTTTCTACAAGGAAGTAGACCAAAGAACACAATCTTGTCTGAATGCACGAACACTCAGCTATCTTAAACTGATTCAATATCAGTATTTAGACGAACTCTTCATTAAAGAACAGTCCCAGCTCTCTAAGTCCTGTATAGGCAGCACAGCTACCAAATTTACTCTATTATAGAGGCCTATCCTACGGATCCCTAAGCTCGTGTATTGAGTGAATGCAAGCGCTGTTTCAAGCTTTTAGCTATCAGTTTATTAACAGGTTAGCTAAACTTCCTTGGGCTAATATATTGTTTTGACTGGGATACTGACAATAGATTTGATCACGTTGTATTTATCTATCATCAAGGAAAAATCGTGTTTCATCCAAAAAAATGTTGAATTCCAAGCTTTTTTATTTTTCCTATACCTTAGTTTAATATTTGGTTAAAAATTAGCGCGTAATATATTGCGCAGTGAACAAAAATTTCATAAACTGTCGAAATATTCATTTGATTTAAAATTGGTAGTTGAGTTACATTGAATGATACGAAATGATATGCTATGAAAATATAATCAGCCATCTTGAATTTGAAGAAATTCTTAGAATATTTCAAGTTGGAGCGAAATAAAGCTTCACTCAAAACTTAGGCTTTTAGTATCTTCCATTAAAGAGCCTCTCAATGATCGGTTAACAACTTTTGTTTGCCTCATAAATTTTGTTAACAAGCGATTTCTGAACCTCAAAATTATGTACATATTTCGCGTTTTGAAATTATTTTTCGAGTCGAATAAATTTTTTCATACCATCCAAAATGAGGATTGATCTCATATTGTTGGGATTTTCACAAACGCGATATACCTAACCTGTTGGTTGCTGACGTCATCACGTGCGTCATCGCGACGGAACAGCAAGAAGTTTGCTGCTGAACAGGTTTGGTCCAGCGTCCTGACCCTTCACAAGCAAGGTGGCCAACATCACTCAGGGTAATGAGTGTGGCTTTGTATTGCATATTCATCTACAATACTATAAGCGTAATAATTATATATCCTTTTGGTATATGAAAAAATTTATGTGCAATATGAAAAATTGTGAACTGATTCAAAGCCGAGACCATTTTAACTGCTCCTGTCCTTTGAGCTAAGGCTTAATCGTTTCCGAAAATTTCTTCACGTAATTGTTGTTTTAATTAAATAGTTTTCTGCCACTTTATGATCATATGACTATGTGCGTCCAAACTATCAACTTATTATTTCAAGTACATCCACGTGTCGCAGTTAAAATGCGTTTTAAAATATTCTAATTTGGTATTAGAATATTTCAACAACACAGTGAAGTCGCACTTCAACAGTCTATGGTGAATTTCCAATGGTCTGGAACGCGGAATTTACCTGATTTTTGAGAGTCATATAATATTTTCTTTTATGATGATGCCGGGGGCGAGGAGCTGGGCCGCCGTCTCGCTCTCTCTCCATTTCTTGTTTAGGATCTCTTGGTCCAGCACGAGGACGCTGCGTGCTCGGGCAACCGCCTGCTGCTGCTCCTCTGAGCATCAGACGCGCCACGCATCACGTCCACAGCTTAAACTTTATGAAGTCGTCGTCAGGTGGCCGTACTCTAAGAAATATTCAAGTATTCGTATTTTATTTTCATCCACACAAAGTATTCGTTACTCCGTCAGCCAATCACTGGCGGCATTTCAAGCTTATCCCGCCAATCACAGACGGGAAATCGGCCGCTAGATGTTCTACGTCAGCTACGTGTACTGAGGTCGCTACGTTTACTTCGGCCGCAACCTATACTCAGGCCACTACGTGCACATAGGACGCTACGAGAACAGGACGCTACGTGTATTTAGGCCGATATATGTACTAAAGCAAGTTTTAAAGTACGGAGGTAGGTGGAACAGACGACCAGCGCTGCTCTTTGTCTTATGACACGAACGCTTAATCACGTCTTCATCCTGCGATCTTCATCAGGTCCAAAAATTCATTAAATCTTTATAACAGAAAACTGGATTCTCAAAATATTGTTTTCACAGAGATATGATGAATTTTCGTGCATATTCTTAATTTAATTAATGATAAGGTTGTGATTGAAGCAATCAAGTGATCGTAGTACCTAATCAGATCGCATCATCAACGTTTCCAGATTGATTATTTTTGAGAAATAGAACAAGCAAACATTATTACATATAATATTTTCTTTTATGATGATGCCGGGGGCGAGGAGCTGGGCCGCCGTCTCGCTCTCTCTCCATTTCTTGTTTAGGATCTCTTGGTCCAGCACGAGGACGCTGCGTGCTCGGGCAACCACCTGCTGCTGCTCCTCTGAGCATCAGACGCGCCACGCATCACGTCCACAGCTTAAACTTTATGAAGTCGTCGTCAGGTGGCCGTACTCTAAGAAATATTCAAGTATTCGTATTTTATTTTCATCCACACAAAGTATTCGTTACTCCGTCAGCCAATCACTGGCGGCATTTCAAGCTTATCCCGCCAATCACAGACGGGAAATCGGCCGCTAGATGTTCTACGTCAGCTACGTGTACTGAGGTCGCTACGTTTACTTCGGCCGCAACCTATACTCAGGCCACTACGTGCACATAGGACGCTACGAGAACAGGACGCTACGTGTATTTAGGCCGATATATGTACTAAAGCAAGTTTTAAAGTACGGAGGTAGGTGGAACAGACGACCAGCGCTGCTCTTTGTCTTATGACACGAACGCTTAATCACGTCTTCATCCTGCGATCTTCATCAGGTCCAAAAATTCATTAAATCTTTATAACAGAAAACTGGATTCTCAAAATATTGTTTTCACAGAGATATGATGAATTTTCGTGCATATTCTTAATTTAATTAATGATAAGGTTGTGATTGAAGCAATCAAGTGATCGTAGTACCTAATCAGATCGCATCATCAACGTTTCCAGATTGATTATTTTTGAGAAATAGAACAAGCAAACATTATTTAGCCGGAGACTGATCTTTCATGGTCCTGAACTCACATCTAGTAATACGTTCTAGTTAAGAATAATTATTTTTCAAAGAACGATTTTAAGTTTTGGCTTTGACATTGGGCATCTTCTTGAAATTATCACTAATGAAAAATATAGCACCATGTCGGTATACTGAGGACTTGTGTAGGAGTGTATATAACCTAAGGATCTTCGGGTGTGCAACAACGAGGGAATCATTTTGTAGGAGCAGCTGATTATGTCGCTCCATCTTGTTCTGTTGTTCATATAAATTTGATGTTACAGCGTTCGTAATTATTCCTGAATTTAGCTTCTCGAAATTTTGGAGATTTTGTATGGAGATAGAAAAAGTTTTTGATTTTGGCATAATTGTATAATACATGTTGGTCATTGAATACATTTAAAGCATATATAAGAATTTTATAACACAATATAAGTTTATCTTCCTTCGTTTGGTATGCACAAGAGAGCCGCGAAGCGAGACAAAGACACTCCGTTATTTCTACACGAATTAAATCTCATTTTAATAGTATTTTCATTTCAGATATACACATGAACGCCGACAATGGAAAGTTATTTCGAAATGTTTAAGGCAATAAAAGAACAGAAAGAGTTGGATTGAAACGTGAAAGCATGAAAAAGGAGAACAAAAGATAAAGGAGAAATACGCCACAAGAAAATCAAATGATCCAATGAACGAAAATACTAAGATCGAGTAAACTGAAATTATATAATCTAACAAACGGAAAATGAATGATCATCAAATAATAATAATAAAATAATAATAATAAATCTACCAGGAGAAAATTGTATGGTTTTGGATGATCAGGAGTTCCTTTTAACGCAGAATAAATAATACGACATTACTGAGAAACGACACCTTGTTCGACATTACCGTACTTTAATTATTGGTTCACAAGAAATTATGCAGCTTTAACGGACAATAGGAATTCTATTCCTACTTTTCCATAAAACAGTGTCCTATAAGTCAGTTCGTAAATATCTTGAATTATATATTTTATTCCTAAATTATTTACAAATTAAAGCTACTGGAGCATGAAAAACTGATTTATTGATACTAAATTGATCACATCGAAGATGCTATACTTCGCACTGATCGAGAGCTGCGACCAGCCAAAAATTTCCACAGAGCCATAGGTACGTTTGTTTAAGGCACGTTCTTGATCCCATGAGAACTGTTGTAGCAGGTTAACATGGAATAGAACTGGTGTAGCAGGTTAACATGGAATAGAACTGGTGTAGCAGGTTAACGTGGAATAGAACTGTTGTAGCAGGTTAACACGGAATAGATCTGTTGTAGCAGGTTAACATGGAATAGATCAGTTGTAGCAGGTTAACATGGAATAGATCTGTTGTAGCAGGTTAACATGGAATATAATTTAGATCTGTTGTAGCAGGTTAACGTGGAATAGAACTGTTGTAGCAGGTTAACACGGAATAGATCTGTTGTAGCAGGTTAACATGGAATAGATCAGTTGTCGCAGGCTAACATGGAATAGATCTGTTGTGGCATGTTAACATGGAATAGATCTGTTGTGGCAGGTTAACATGAAATAGATCTGTAGTAGCAGGTTGACATGGAATAGATCTGTTGAAGCAGGTTAACACGGAATAGATCCGTTGTAGCAGGTTAACATCGAATAGATCTGTAGTAGCAGGTTAACATGGAATAGATCTGTTGTAGCAGGTTAACATGGAATAGATCTGTTGTAGCAGGTTAACATGGAATAGATCGGTTGTAGCAGGCTAACATGGAATAGATCTGTTGTCGCAGGCTAACATGGAATAGATCTGTTGTGGCAGGTTAACATGGAATAGATCTGTTGTGGCAGGTTAACATGAAATAGATCGGTTGTAGCAGGTTAACATGGAATAGATCTGTAGTAGCAGGTTAACATGGAATAGGTTAATCTGTTGGAGCAGGTTAACATGGAATAGATCTGTTCCAGCAGGTTAACACGGAATAAGTTTGCAGACAATATTGACGTGGAAAGTAGCATCAGTCACATCAGGGCATTTAGAGTCGAATCTTGACTGGAGTTTAAAGGCTTCGGCGTGAGACTTTTAGTACAATTTTGTTCCTGAATAAAGATGAAAGAATAGCTTCACAATGTGCGATAGTATTGACATGAAAGTTACGTATCTTGAACGGGACGAAAGGGGTTGGCGTTTACGACTTCTTTCAATGAGGTCGTGGCAAGAACGGGTTTAGGCTACGAGTTTAAATCAATTAGTTCAATAAAACAAATATCTAAAACTTATGAGGAAAATGCCATTTTTAGTGATAAACATGGAACGGTGATCCATTTAAATAACAAGGCAATATTTTCAATTTACGCGCCAAAATATTAAAGTGCGTTAATGTAATGAACATGACACATGCGTTTACAGATAATTGTATTCTAAACCAATTCTTTCTAAGAATTGGTTTAAATAACAAGGCAATATTCTTTCTAAGAATAAAAACTGTAGATATGCAAGCGTAAAGTTTAATAAAAGTAATGTTTAATAGAAGTAATGTTTACACAAATTTTAATGTAATAAAAGTAATGTTTACACAAGTTTTAATGTAATAAAAATAATGTTTACACTAATGTTTATAGTAATGTTTACATTTTTATTGGTTACACAATAAAAATTTCCAACATTATGCATTATGGCCCAATTTTGTCCAACAAAATGTTCGAATAGATCTGTTGTAGCAGGTAATTATCGTAACCGATCTATTCAAACAGATCTGTTATCGTCGTAACAGATCTATTCGAAAATTTATTCGTCGCACCCAAGGTTAAGAGTACCTTCTGCACTAGCTTATAAAATCTATATGATTTATGTACATACAAAAACATTTTAGAAACTATTTATGGACTATGAGATTATTAAATTAAAATACTAATAATATTGCAATACTGAAAAACTCATGGAACCAATAAACAGGTACAAGAAAGCTTTTTACAACAAAACAAATTTGATCGGAATTTTGTAGAAAATTGTAGAGATGCCACGATAAATTAGAAAAAGGTTTGTATGAATCTCAAGACGTTAAAATACAGGGAATAAGAAGAACTCAAAAGCCGATCACCAAGCACACAGAGTTAAAAAATTAACAAATTCAAATTTACTCGTTTCTAGAATTCCATCACGAGTCGCTCATCCAAATTCTTCGCTCATCCAAAAAAAATCTTTGCATAGATTGGCCACCGCTAAATAAATTGCCAACTCTCTATACAGAAACAAAATTGATGACAGAATCAGTTGGTGACAGCAATGAGCAGCAACATTTTCTTCCCTAAACATATTTAAATTCATTAAAATCGTCTGATTTTTTAGTCGTAAATTGACAATAAATTTGAAGCCAAGAAAGCGCCGGAGAAATCCGACAAATTTTATTTAAAAACGTTCAGACCAGTTTTATTAAGCCATGAAACTGGACGAAGCTGGTCTCTGGTATACATTGTAATGTGTTGAAACTGGCCAGTGACGCATCAAGTATCAGCCATTATATACGCAGTGGCTTTTCTTGTTCATTTGTTCATTAAAAAGCAACTAACTTTTTTAGCGCACAGCGTCAAAAACACGTTAAGCTGTCACATTACCACGTTAAATGAATGTTAAACAGTCACATTACCACGTTTGAAATAGTGTAATTAACGCTACTGGTTCGCAAAAATATTTTAGATGAAACCAAACTTGTTGGTCGAACAAAGGGGAAACTCAATAAAATTGTCAACCATTTGTTACGATGTCACTGAGAAATTTACAAGCAGCAGCGACTGCATCAAGGCTACATTCAATGGGATGGAAACTTTGCGACTTATATTAGAAAGTGATTGCTCTCCACTTACATGTATGATGAGTGCAGTCGAATTCACTGACAAGAATAATGAGTGATGACAAATTCACTGAGAAGAATAATGTTTGAATACGTATCGGGATTCATATTCATTCATATTCAATTCACTCAAATGTGGACCTATTCATAAGCCTACAACTCCTAAATGAGAATTGATAATTCTAATCAATAGCCACTAATCAACTGTTCTATTCAACAACAAATGAGATATCAATGAATCAATTCAATTTTCAGATAGGTTATGTGATTAAATAAGTTAAAATCGAGTGAAACTAGCAAGCGATTCAACTATAATAAATGCATCGCTTGTAATATGCGGCTATATACATAAGTAAAAACCTAATGATACGGTTTAATTCGAATAAATGTGTCATTTTATTATATAGGGATACATTACATTTCTGAGAACAATCAGTTTTGGTTTAATGAAAACAACATCACTAAGGTCATGAATGTCATCAGAATATTTCTGACACTGAAGCGCAAAGCTGAACCTGCAGAGCGCCCCGCATATTCATAAGCAGGACCTAAATTAGAAGATATTTCAGATTCGTTAACTGAAGGCAACAGGTGGAAAGTGATGAGTTGTTTTTCTTCGCCTTGGTGTGCCAGCCACGAACTGATCGAGTTCTTTAAGTTGGTTTTTCGAGGTGGATCAAAGTTCCCGCATCGGGGGAAGTGATCGGGGACTGGGGGAAACATGGACTCATCCCCCACCTTGACAACCAACCCCATCCCAACCTCCACATGGAAGGCGATGTGGCAGTGGAACAGCCAGTAACCTGTTTATGGTTGAAAAATTAATGATTTTGGCTCCAAGTTAAGCTTGAATTTGTTTCCGTTCTTATTTAGTGATTAATATTTTTTTTTATTTGTATTAAACAAAATTAAAAATTGAAAAATGAAATCGCATCTGTCACCTCCAGGGAGCCTGAAAAATAGAACCATTTTTATAATGTTTAATAACACACATGCTCACTGGATTCAAACTACACAAAGGTCTCGAAAAGTTGTTGACTAAAAATCGAAATTGCTGTAGCGAACATTCATTTTCCCATAAATTTACATATGAATCAGAATTCCCGTATATTCAGTTTAGATGTGTTCCGTCAAAAATTCAGAAGGGTCGAGCTTATTGGTGAGCAGTTGATTGCTTCTACACCAGGCCAGTACTGGCTGCCAGTACAACTTTCATATACTATTCGTCGCTAATAACCATGCTACTGGACTCTTGTAAAGGGTGACTGGGTCGTTCAGTGGCCAGTATAGCGCCAATAACGCGGTAAATAGTGATGGCCAATATTTGAACGTCGTAATGGCCGCAACTACTGTCCCTGTGTACTGGCCGCCACTAATGTCCCCGTGCACTGGCCGCCACTACTGTCCACGTGTACAAAGTCACCACCCACCAGGGTTGGTGGCCCAGAAGCGGATGACAGTGTAGCCACCATCAGGCACAGTCACTGTATCCATGATAGGAGGACGATTAAAGTTACGCATCAGCTGCTGCTTCTTCTCCAGCTCTAGCACCTGCAATCAAATACGGCATCAGGGAAATACAATAACGCTATACGGAAGGCATTTCAGGTAACGTTTTCAATTAATTTTCATGATAGTACGCATTGTGAGTGTTTTTTCTCCCTCTCAATAAGTTACTTTGCCGGAATTTTTTTTCGGGTTAACTTGGCCGCACTCTTGCTTTGTTGCACCAGCGCTTGAGTTTCAGTTAGTTTAGTTTCAACACCAACTCTAATTTGGTTTTAGTTGCCCCTCATTTGACTTTTTTTGAACGTCATATGTTGAGTATTATAGGGAACACCACAAAGGGAACACAACAGAGGGAACACTATGAAGGGAACACTCACGGCCTGACGTGTTGTGTTCGAGCCCAGCTTGCCCATCCCGATGACCGCAAACTCGTGGCCGTGAAGGTGGAACGGATGATTAGCGTAGTACGTCAGACCTGCGAGCAAAATACATGCATTGCCAGGCCCAAAATTCCATGCCCATACTTTTATTGCAAAGACTTCAAGTTTAAAGCTAAATTCATTAAGTAAAAAACTTAGAAGATCGTGAATAAAAACCATAAACAACATAAACAAGAAAAAAATATTACTTCATTTAATATTTAGCATGCTTAGCCTCAGACGTGTTCATGTTAGTGCGGGGAAGTTTTTCGAAATTCCACAAGTCATTTCACAGCACGCGAAAACATTTTAAGAAATATAGCTTACAAATCGCACTCTCATAAACTTAAACCAATTGTAAAAAACGACGTCTGAAATTTGTGAAAAACATTAAAACAAACAACTAACACTCAAGGCGCATTAATTAGCATTAATGTCGATAGAGAATTAATTTTGTTAAACACAATCTTAAATCAACGCAATTCCAACGTCGAATGCCCGGCGAGTTACCAATAAAAAATATCGATAACAAAGCTTAAACTTTGTCGATGAGGACAAAATTTTTCGCACGCAACGCAGTTGGTCAACAACGCAGTTTTTTCGGACTTGGAGTCCAGAACTACGCCGAAACTAAATAAAAAACATCCAGATTTAAATGGCAAATATCGAGACGAGGATAAATAATTATTTTACAACAATAATATAAACAAAAAAACCATTACCTTTATCGATGAGGACCATTTCGACGAGACTGTTCTTGCGCACGGTGAGAGTGTGCAGGCACCCGCAGAAGTCCTGGGTGCAGTTGTTGTGTTTGGTGGCGGGGGGGCGCTCAGCGCTGCAGTAGCTCTGGGGGGGCACGTCCCCGGGCTGTGATAGGGGGGGCGCCGGGGGCAGCAGCAGGCTGATGTAGTTCATTTGAGAACTTCTGGTACCATATAAACCTTTAACTAGAACATAATTCAATTGAAATGCAGCAACTTCGTGCCTGGATGCTTAGTCTGTGACCTGAACCAGTTTATAACTATGCACATTAGACGTACGGCAGAACTCAGGGTGGAATACTACTCAAATGTTAACCTCGATAAAAGGGAAGTGGTCTGCGTGGTGCAAGAAAGTGTAGACTACTACTTAAATGTTAACCTTAATAGAAAGGGTAGTGGTCCGCGTGGTGGAAGAAAGTGTGGATTACTAATTAAATGTTAACCTTTATAGAAAGGGTAGTGGTCCTCGTGGTGGAAGAAAGTTTGGAAAGCTTAAATATTAATCTTGATAGAAAGGGTACTGGTCCTCGTGGTGGAAGAAAGTGTAGACTACTAATTAAATATTAACCTTTATAGAAAGGGTAGTGGTCCACGTGGTGGAATAAAGTGTAGACTACTAATTAAATATTAACCTTTATAGAAAGGGTAGTGGTCCTCGTGGTGGAAGAAGTCGTTATCGCTGGGATGGAAGTCGAAGTCCAGCCAAAACACGTGGTCGGGTGTTCCTTCGTAGGATAAGTTCGTCGGCGGCGAGTGGATGTCGGCCGCCGTGAGGAATGTACCGTCACCGGGGGCTTTGTTCAGCGTGTTCACTTGCTGCACGATTGATCAATTATACTTTATAGAAGCATAAATTTAAATGGAAAAATCCCATCAGTCATCTGACATTGAATCAACGTTGATAAAGTATTTAAACGTGTAATAAAAGTCTATTGACTGTTGTTGCAACGTTGAAAATGTATTTAAACGTTGAATGCATGTCTATTGAATGCTGTTGCAACGTTGTAAATGTATTTAAATGTTAAATTTACGTCTATTAAACGTTGTTTCAACGTTACTTGCCTGTAGAGATTATTGCAATGAGTGTCAACCATTATAGAAAATTTAACGAACCTATTTTTTAACGAATCCAAGCACCGACTTGAACAACTTTTTGTTTACTCATTTACAAAATTTCATCTATAAGAACTCACAATTCCATCAACTCTTCACATGTACAGCACTTCTCACAAACATGTACAGCACAACTCACAAACATGTACAGCACTTCTCACAAACATGTACAGCACAACTCACAAACATGTACAGCACTACTCACAAACATGTACAGCGCTACTCACAAACATGTACAACACTACTCACAAACATGTACAGCACTACTCACAAACATGTACAGCACTACTCACAAACATGTACAGCACTACTCACAAATCCCTCGCGTTTAGTTTGTGCCCACGTGACGTTGGTGACGTCAGAGGGCAGCTCATTGGGTGCACCCTCGTAACGTATGACCGCGACCTGTGTTAGACGTAACGTTTTATATACAATATTATATACATAATATATATGTATAAACAATACTCTATCACTGTTACAGGGACAACGTAAACGTTACACAGAAATTATAAAGAAAAAATTGATGAGGGATATCTAGTACAAAGCTTACGTCTCAGAAGTGAAATTAATTAAGATACATTACTTTTTTAATTCATACTAAAAACAATGTATTTCTCGTTAATAAAGTTGTATTACTCGCACGCGTAATCTACCCTCACGAATGTAGACAATTCGCGTTTTTTTTCTAGACACTAAAGATGTGTACAAGCTTCTCAGGCTCGATCACCCCAGATATAAAAAAAGAATCTTTTCTCTTTTATTAAATATGAAAACCCTGATATACACCTTATATAATTAGCTTTCTATTATTAATTACTAAAAATCTTTAGATAAACACTGCAATCACCTGATGAGCAGACTTGAACCTGTCGTCGCAGTCCAGGAGGCCGTGGAATTTGATCCAGTAATTGCCCACGGAATTATTTGCGTGTAGAACAAAGTCCCAGCGCTCGCCTCCGTAGATCACGAACGATGAAACTACACACAACACTCAATAAATAATCATACACTACATTATTATGAAGAATAATTACTTAAAATTAGGATTATTAATTATATATTTTAAACAGCATCGAATAAAATATTCGGACACTGCTGAATAATTATCAACTTTTCTTATTTGAATATCGATTTCAAATCATATATTTTTAAACAAGAAACTGTAATATGCATTACATTAATTATTTATCTAAATTATAATGATTAATTGAATGTATCAAAGAGCTCTCAATAAAATATTAATCCACTGAATAATTGTTCAAAATTTTCAGTTAAATTTGTAGTTATAATTCATAAATTATTAAATAAACTTCACAAGAATGTACAGAAAATTGGATGTTAAATTACAATGCAACTGCATGTGAATTAATTAGTGTTTTCATAATGAATGTTGCAATATAATGTATGTACTTATTCATCATCATTTTGAAAAAAAATCATGCTTATATCGTGTAATTGCTTGATAAAGCGGTTAACATAGAGTAAGAAAACCGGTACATGTTATATAAAATGATATGGCATTGACATGGTTCTATAGTAATGTATATTATATATCAATATAAACACATATATGATATTAATAAATATTATATAACCGTACATATATGAGCAGTAGCTGCAGATCATCTTGCACGGGCTAGACGGATGACTCACCTAGGACGGGCTGGACGGGTGACCCACCTAGGACGGGCTGGACGGGTGACCCGTCTTTGGAGACAAGCAGCAATTGATGCCCGTCTACGGACACCTCAATAGGACAGTTCTGGATGCTGTTGCTGAGCGTGCGCATGCGGTGGCGCTGGCCCTGATCACCGTGATTGTCTTATATTATTTACTGATTATTTCAGTTATCTTTAAATAATAATTACTATATAATAATGATAACGAAGGTGAATTAATTGATGTTTTCCCAGTAATAAGAACATAATTAATAAAGTAATTTTAAAATAAAAATTAATTTATAGTAATAATGAATAAAGTTTATTAATAATTATTGTTTTTATGATAACAACCTGATTAATCTAGTGATCGTAAATAAATGTTCTGCTATAAAAAGTAATTTTTTACTTGATGTCAATAAATATTAATAAAATCCCACTAAACTGCGACTTCTCGTAACTTGGTCAAGTTTTCGATAACTAAAAGTAATCAGCAGAATTACAAACGAATAATTAGTTGAATGTAATAAACATGTCACATTACTTCACGTTAGCTTCTCAATTTCACGCAAAATTTAGGCATAAATAACGTATTTCGATAAATACAGTTTATATGTATACCAGCACGAATATTATATATGATATGTATTTCCCGGTTGCAGTAAGTCACAGCAATGACAAGAATTCTAGTCATAAATACTCAACATTTTGTACGAAAATACTCGGAGAAATGAGTGAAATTTTGTAATGAATGAGAATATCGATTTTCCTCTTTTGTGGGTCATCATGACCTAGTTTACCCCGGCAAACGAGCGTATCAGTGCTACGACCGCTCTCTGCTTTGCTCAAGCAGTGAGTCATTATGTGGACATTATGACTCACCCATTTTTCAGGGTGTCACTTTCCTTCATATAATAAAGAAAAATATATTTTAGTAATAAATTTTATATATATTATTATATAATAAAGAAAAATAGTGAATATGTAAGATTTTACCGGCGAGACGGTGACGGAGGAGAGGGGAGGATGCCCCCCGTCACCCACGATGTGGGGGGCGACGTACCCCCGACCGTTCACCAGGATGTTGTAGGGTTTGTTGTCGTGCTGTGAAAACAAATATATTCAAATCTTGCGAAATTTAAAAAGATCACACAAAATAAATTTGCGAAATTTAAACAATTTTTATACGTAATTTATATTTGATGTTTCATAATTGCATGAATATGCTCCTTTTCAGTAAAAAATTTAGAAGAGATTATAAAAATTCTGCGTGATTCAATCATTACATGAAAATGTGACACGCGATCCATGATTTTTGATAAAATTACTAAAATTGTGCGTGATTTATTTGCTGTGTTTTATCTTTACTCTCAGCTTTTTCCGATCGATCTTTGAATTCTGTTCAGAGTCGATGCGATTCATAAACACAAAAGTATATTATGTGCATTTACATGCATGCTAAGACGCGATCACACATACACTCTTAGATGGTGACCACCATGACCTCACCACGCTGTGATGGTGACCACCATGACCTCACCACGCTGTGATGTTGACCACCATGACCTCAAAGGGGCAGTGATGGTGACCACCATGACCTCACCACGCTGCGATGGTGACCACCATGGCCTCACCACGCTGCGATGGTGACCACCATGACCTCACCACGCTGTGATGGTGACCACCATGACCTCACCACGCTGTTATGATGCTCTGTATACCATGATGATGGTACATTGTGATGATGGCACTCACCACACTATGATAATGCTACTTACAACACTGTGATAATGCTACTTACAACACTGATTATGCTACTTACAACGCTGTGATGATGGTACTCACCACACTGTGATGATGGTAGACAAATTTCTGCATGGTGAGGTCCTCGAGCCAGTCTGTGATGACAAAGATGTGTGATGGATCGTCGATGTCGTAGTAGGAGGCGAGGAGGTCGTCGGGGGTGCGGATCACGATTGCACCAAACATTCCGTCCGCCCTTTGAAAACCTGGTCACGGAAGTGAATTGTCTATAATTCCAGTTTCCCATACATTGTTAGTCTAAAGTTTCTTCGAAAATTGAAATTTCTTGCAGATTTTACAGATTTCTTTAATGTTCCTAAACTGAACAAGTTCAAAGAGAATTTGACTATCGTATTAGATCTTTCGAAGTTTTTTTTTCGCTTTCCTTTAATTTCATCAAATGAAACGAATATGTTCAAAGTGAACTAGGCTATAGAAAAAATATTTTACCGGACTCGATTTTTGTCCGGTTTTGTACCCGATGTCCGGTAATGTTACCAATTGTAATTAATTTTGTCCGGTAATTGTACGAACCATGTTAATATATATATATATAATTTGCTGATAAAAATAAATGATTTGTTGTTAAAACATATCCAACATTGCTGGCTCGTACGCAAGGTTCAACTAAATCATGTGTATCAATTGAACTGAAAGCGGCCGAGTGGTGAAGATATTAGAGCAGCGAGAGGGAGGTTCGAAACCTTATACACGATTTATTTTTAACCTGATGGTCGAAATTAAGAATCGGCGTCAGATCAATATAGCAAAACCCTGCAATATTATTATCACTACCTTTTAATATATATTATTATTATTACTGTATTATAGTTATTATTATTCCAACAATTATTATTGTAATATAAATCATGAATTGATCACTCACCGGAATGAGAGTGCCAGTAATGCGTGCCTGCCTTGTCGGCCAGGAAGTGATACCTGCGGAGCGAGGTGAAATATTTAACAGAGTAAAATCATAATATATTTTTTATAGAATACTCATGAGAAGTGTGGCAATGAAAAATATACAAAACATATAACATTTTTATTACATGGAATAACAATAGTTGGACGTAAAATTTCTACTTAACTGTGCGGATAACATTAACATATTTATAGAGACTGCAAATGTTTATTATTATCAAGGAAGAGCAATGGAACTGACGTTGTTTTTATCGTCAAGAATTCAATAGCAATGTTCAATAGCAAAATTACCTGGTATCAGCGATAAGTTTAATGAAATATTTATCCATGCATTCAGAATACATGAAAGTAAGACATGAATATCAACGATATTACTTAGAAACGGAGTCCGATTTTATGAGAATTTGTGTTTTCGATCGAAGGTTAATGCATATTTTCTCATCTTAATGCATTTAAACCTTGAGAAATTATCTGAAAACACTTCCATTGAATATAAACGATATTATAATTGGAAACGGAGTTTCACATTCTGTTCAATAACTGAGATAAATGAACATTTGCATTTACGTGCCTCTAACCTGCGCTAAATAATCTTGAAAATGAATAACCTCATAGATGTATAATATGAAAGATTAATGACGTGAAATATAAATAACCTGATAGACGAATTATACGAAAAATAAAAAATATGAAAGATGATTAACATGAAAGATGATTAACTTGAAAGATGATTAACCTGAGAGATGATTAACCTGAGAGATGATTAACTTGAGAGATGATTAACCTTAAAGATGATCAACCTGAAAAATGAATAACCTGAAAGATAAATATCCAGAAAAGTGAATAACCTGAAAACTGTAGCGGGGCCGACGGGGCACTGCGTGAGCTGGGGCACGCCATCCATGTAGGGGGTGCCCAGCATGTGTAGGCCGTGCCAGTGTATGGAGGTCGTGTCAGACATGAGGTCGTTCTTCAGGTCCACGACGATCTCGTCACCCCGGCATACCTGCGCCACAATCATACCATATTCTCATTAGAAGAATTATTTTAAATAAGAAAAGAAGTTTTAGATAAATTTCATGTACCTCGTTGCACCCGCGGCATATCAGCGCACCTATTATACCATATTTTCATTATAATAATTATTTTGGTAAAGAAAAGAAATTTTAGATAAATTTCATGTAGGTACTTTGTTGCGCCCGCGCCATACCAGCGCACTCATCATACCATATTTAGACTAGAGTATTGAATTTTACGAATAAATGAATTTTCAGAGCAAGTTTCCTGCACTTCGTTGCACTCCGGTATAACTGCGTAGCAATCATCTGATATTTAGATTCAAACAATATTTTTTCGAAGAAATGAAGTCTCAAATCAATTTTTTGCACCCCGTTGCGCTGGCATACATACGCGCCAATCATAATTATAAATGCCAATAATTATTTTAATGAAGAAATTACGAAGTTTTAAACGAATTTTTTGGCAAACAAGCATCTGGTCCAGTTGTTCGACATGCATTGAAGTGAATATTACTTTTCCAGGACAATAAGTACACGTCAATATAGTGTAAAATCAACAAAATTTCTACATATATTTATAGTAGCACAAGGAGAAGAGAATATCAATTTGAATGCGCAAAGCATGCACACAGGAAGATGCATGGGGAAGTTTAAAATACGCGGAAATGTTTAGCGCAGGACGACACGTGCGTTCAGGCTGTTCTAAAATATATGAATATGTGTGCTCTATCTATTTGTATCTGCGGCCTCAAATTTGAGTTAATTTAAAATATACAAAATAGAAGGTCAAGAAGGAATAATGAAGTAAGATTGAAATCATACTAATTAGCTAGTCGGTACGCTGAAAAGCTCAAATTGAAAATGTGCCTAATTAAATCATTGGTTAATGGAAAATCGTAGAAGTTTATCAGGCTTGTAAATGCAAAAATAATTGCAGTCAAATAACTTATCCGCAGTCACCAAGTGACCGGAAATTGTTGGAGGTCGAGGACATAGTGACCAGCATCGGACATAGTGACCAGCATCAGACATAGTAGTGACCAGCATCAGACATTGTGACCAGCACCAGACATAGTGACCAGCACCAGACATAGTGACCAGCATCAGACATAGTGACCAGCATCAGACATATTGACCAGCATCAGACATATTGACCAGCATCAGACATATTGACCAGCATCAGACATATTGACCAGCATCAGACATATTGACCCATGATCAAGAGCAGGATTTATACAACTGGCAGAAGGACGTGCTAGAGCTTCAATAGAAGTCCAACACAATGGTATGTTGAATACAGCACCACGCACTCAATGCTGGTCAGCTGGAATTACCGCAATGATATAGCGACTCTAAAGTAAAGTGTGGTCAAGCGCATAGCGTGCAATTATGTCACTATCATGTATTCATTATGATTTATGTCACTATGATCGTATTCAAGTGCTTTGTATCAATAGGTGAGGCTCGTATGAAAGTACATATAGACTGGCGATCGACAATAGCTTTGCGACCAAAGACTACTTTAATGAATATAATAGGTCAATTGCATCGCAGTATGTGGATAATAACGTTACCCCATTGTTACGTGAATGGATGACACGTCGGAGAGTATAATGCATTGTCATCGTTCGAATTATAGTTCTAATTAGCATTAACGTGCGCATTTGGGTGGTTGCTCTAGGCTTACATGTCGGCAGGGTACTCTTAATGACAATCATATCGGGTGGAGTAGGCATCACAAATTCAAAGGATTGTTACGTAATTTATTACAAGTGCATCACACAAGGCTACCAAATTTCAGAAAAAATGTAAATCGTAAATAATATGCGAGTCGCAACTCAGCAGGCATTGTACTTTTAACTCGTGCTCGTCAATAAAAACCGTACGGATAATACTAGTCAGAATTATTTGATTATTAAGGTCAGAACTACGACCACATAATAAAAACGATGTTTTTTTGTTCAATCCAGAAAGGTGATGTTTAATTCTATATATTTTTCAAATAGATCGTTTATATTGAGGGCGGGCGACATAAGTTCTGTGGCGACTTAACTCCAACGACCTGAAATCATGACAAAAACATACATACGAAGAAATTAAGTTTGTCAGAAGTTGCGGCTCAAGTGGCAGTAGCTTTCAAACAGAATGCATTTGTTACATTTTCATGTGCACTGGCATTGACGTTAGCAGACTCGTGTCGGTTTATTTAGACTGTTTTTGGTTTGATTTGCTTCCTTCCTCGAACCTCGTGCGGTCTACGGCGGTTTTCCGGGAGAACGTTCGGTCAGGTTTTCGACGCGTCCGTGATCATTGTACGAATCGCAGCGGTGACGGAAACTATTGACCATTCTTTGTAACTAATCATAACTATGACTAAACGGCTGTTGTGCTTCCGATTGCATCAACTTCAGTATTATTTACTGGAATGATATCATCAGAGGTGCCATCAAATGAAAATATTATGGCTAAATTGAGCTCGTTATAATCTTTTATAACGAGTTTTTTTATTAGCAATCTTGGTTATACATGTGGAATGCCTTGAAAAAATCATTTCTTGAAGTGAATAGATAAGAAACATGTTCCCTACACCTCCGCCCTAGAATTGATTTTCGTATTTAAAATAGCAGTAAAAATGCTGCCATGTCACATTCTTCACGCTCGTGAGAACGCAATCTCACTATTTTCTTTGAAATACTATCAGCTAACAGGATAGACACGCGTGACGCGCGCTATACCAGTAAATTTCGATCATTTAGAGAATTCACATGTTATGTTATTATTAGGCAAATATAACGGTGAAACTGGATGTAAATAAGTAGTTCAGTGAACTTAATTTAAATATGGTTGATTTATTCTAGTATACTATTCGACCAAAATCCTGGCAACAGCATAAATAATTGATATATTTTAGATTAGTTAAAATAAAATAAAATTAAAGAAGTACATTTTATACCTTCGACATACATATGATTGCACAACTAATTTAAGACTACTTATACCGTAATCATTAAAATAAAATTTAACCTTCTATAACAGACGGATGCACAACGAAATTATGTTTCGTTGCACACTTGAGCTCGTTATAATCTTTCGTGGAGAGTTTTCTTTCCAACTGGTCGATACAATTTAAAATAGCAGTAAAAATGCTGCCATGTCACATTCTTCACGCTCGTGAGAACGCAATCTCACTATTTTCTTTGAAATACTATCAGCTAACAGGCTAGACACGCGTGACGCGCGCTATATACCAGTAAATTTCGAACATTTAGAGAATTCACTTGTTAAGTTATTATTAGGCAAATATATCGGCGAAACTGGATTAAATTAACTGGATTAAATTAAACAAATTAAGTTCAGTGAACTTAATTTATATATGGTTGACGTATACTATTCGTCTCAAAATACTGGCAACAGCATAAATAATTGATATATTTTAGATTAGTTAAAATTAAATAAAATTAAAAAGTACATTTTATACCTACAACATATATGGTTGCACAACTAATTTAAGACTACTCATACCGTAATCATTAAAATAAAATTTAACCTTCCATACCAGACGGATGCTCAACGAAAATATGTTTCGTTGCACACTTGAGCTCGTTATAATCTCTCATGGAGACTTTTTTTCCAACCTGGTCGATACAGTACGTTTATGACTCCATGGAAATCGAGACGAACACGAACGTTCCGCGATACGTTCTAGTTCCTCAATGAACCGACTGGCCGCCGTTCAGAACCTCTGGTCTGGACAAATAGGTTTTCGTGATCAAAAATTCACATGCAAAGATATTGTTCTCAAGGCAGCACGAAAATCTAACAAAAAAGTTTGCTCATAGCTCCTTAGTCACTCCGTACCCAAATGCCCCACACTGTGAACATTTATTAAAAAAAAATTTTCATACTAATAACATACGCGTCATGATTCATCTAATAGTTGACTCATTACCTGAATTATGTTCTCATTCAAAGCTTAACTCGTAAAATTGAGCATACCTGACTTGATGGTTAGCGAGGCAATTTTTAAAATGATATCTCCCCGCTAGACAGTATAGTTCATCGTCTTTTAATCAATACTCCTAAAAAAGGCAAATTTTAACTTTGTTTACTTCCAATCAATTGTTAAATGGTTATCTCTACACTTATTCGTTGGCGGAATATTCGAGCAATTCTTCACAGTGCAAAATGCTAGAGATTATTCAACTGAAAAACATCTTTCCTGCACGTCATCATGTGAGCAATTCTGCGTAGTAATTTAAAAGTTATTCACTGCCAGGAATTTGAACTTCTCAGTCAGGGAATTTCCCGACAACCCGACGCGTAGGAGATTATCAAGCCAGAGACTCGGTAGCCCGACCAAACCGTCAATTTTCCGCTTCATGCACGGCGGGATGTTCCTGCAAAACTTGCGGCCTCCAGTGCGAGCCCAGACGCCTGTATTTTATTGCAAATAAATTAATTTATATGGAAATAAGATATAAACATAACTATATATTATCACATGTGAATTTATATAAAAAATAAGTATAAACATAAGTATATATTACTACATAATAACTGTACGATATAGCAGCGGCAGCCAAATTAAGGACGAGTAACAGAGAACCCACCCTCCAGGCAAATAATACTAAAAAACGTTGATTACGAGTTAACTTCATTGAAACTTCATTTCAACGGAGGTTAAGATGCCGTAAGCTGGCAAAGATTTCCAACGCAGTACCGCTGATTCAAACTGGTTTCAACCATTGAGGAGGATGAAATTGCGAATATATATTAAGTAGAGAATATATTAAGCTATTAACGATACCCATTTATTTGAGTATATAACAAGGAATGTTCTCCCGACATTGATAAAAAATTAATCTCTAGATATTAAGTGAAAAAGTCAGTTTAAAGCAAGTTTGCCGCTCGATCGATATGATAAGTAGTTTGAAGAAATGGAATGCACTCGCTCATGTCTACAAGGATTGATCAGGTAAATGATTAT